GTCCCAACACTGAGAAGAAGGACGAGTTGATGAACTCATTCTCTCACATGGAGGACACTATGCGCAAGTGCTTCACCGAGGACGACAAGGCAATCATCCGACGTGATGTTGAAAGCCGAAAGAGGAAAGCAAAGTCATCCAAAGACGTCGAAGACGAGGACTACATGGATGTGGATGATGAAGATATTGAACTTCCCGAAGAAGAACCGGAACTAGGAGGTAAGGTACCACCTCACTCTCCGAGAGCCAAAGGTAGACCACACTCGTCAGACTCTGCAAAAGAGGAATACGCGAAAGCGGTCGAGGCAACCAAGAAGGCCTTTGGGAACGCCAGTTTCGTCACCAGATTCAAAGAGCCCGTCGACCTCTTTGACATTGCCGATGACAAAGAAGGAGGAGAGTACAGGGTCGCAAATCACAGGGTTGATAGATCAGGTCCTAATGGAAAGTGGGAACTTGATGCACTTATTCAGGAGGCTGCAGCACTCGGAATAAAGATGCCCAAAGTGAAGGACCTTGCTCCTGACCCACAACAAGTTCAAAAGGTTGGATATCGGCAGATTGAGGTGACTTGCGATAGAGGAAGCATCGAGATAATTCCACAGTATGGAGTTACATTTTATGTGGAGTACTGGAATGGACCGAAGAGAGATGCAACTTTCACGGATCCACCAAAGATGAACCCAGCAACTCGCATCGACAAGTTCAGCGAGGAGAGTCAGCGGGTCAACGAGGTTAGCCATAGACTCAATAGACTACTCAGGCATGGAGTGGGAAAGCATAATGGGATTCAATCGCACCGCGGTCGAAAACCTCATGTGTCCCCGAAGTGCAATGAGGGTGGATGGGTGAACATCGATGAGATCCTGGAATATGACCATGTCTTCAACGATGGTGTCGATATCAGTACTATCTCAGATGATCAACGTGAGCAAGATGTCAAGACAGAGCGATACCAGTATTTATGCAAGGCGATGTGGCATGCAAAGAAGTTGCAGAACAGAGTACGCTATCAGATTGCCGCCATTCGTATCTCAAGGGAGGATGTCTCACTCGAAGAGGAAAGGCAATACTGGGCAAACCTCATGTATTACAGCACAGATGCACCGTCATTTCTGAAGCATGAACGTTGGATCGTTCCTTGTGCAATTCGAGCTGTTGCCTCTCACAATTCTGGAAGAGAGACTGTTCTTGAAGAGGGTGTGTCAATATATCCTGTGTGGACTTCACATCTCATTCCAGAGAATGTGGCAATGCAGCTTGGAGGAAGCTTTCACATGACATCGCTTTCCAATATTGAGTCAATCATGAAACTAGGAATTGTCCCTGGTGGAACGGAGGGATATAGAGGTAGTGTTTTCTTCAACCACTTTGCGCCGTGGGATGATCGATCATCAAAGATTCTGAGATCAAGATGGCCAAGAGTGGGAATGCCCGTTTGCCTTTATGTTCCAATCATGACTTTGAGGAAGCTTGGGGGAAGAATTTCGGAGAATTCCTACACTGTTGTTTTTAGAGAAGTTCCATGGAGATGTGTACGAGGTGCTTGGTATTGGGACGACTACGTTCAGGCATGGAGGAGACTCCTGCTGGGAAGCACTGGAGAGCAAGTTGTTCTAGCGGCGCGTCATGGACTTTGGGTTGCTCAGAAGCATACCATCCTCGAGAGAGCCGACGAAGTCACGAAGTCAGCCTCGGCGACAGATGACAACGTCCAAAAGCTCGTGTCCCTTATCGATGAAGTACAATTCGATGACAATGGAGAGCTGATCGAGGATTCCATCAGTGAGGAAACTTGGGACGAAATCATCTCCAGAACATGTGAAGGGTATCGCAACGTGGATGGCAATATTTTGTGTCCATCATGTATGCATTTGACTTCTTCGTCTTTGTCCGTGTGTCTATCTTGTCAAGGCAGGCTACTCTCGTGTGGTATTCGCAACACTGTCATTTCCGATTCACCCGTTGATCTTGTGAGCGACGATGAAGAGGAAAAGAAGGAAGAGAAGGAGCCTGAAGATGATGATCAAGATATCTTGGACCAGGCCACTATGGACGAGATCAGAAAGGCTTGGGAAGAAGACATCGCTCAAACTGAAGCAGCTGACGACGACGAGGACATGGACAATCTAGATCCTTCCAAACCGTCTGATGGTGCAGAAAACTTCAAGAGTGACAATGTCGAGACCCCATCTTTCAATGAGGACGAGATCGACTACGGTCGTGATTCTGATTTAGAAGATGAAGACGAACGAAACGTGATCATCGAGATCCAGAGGAGCACACAACAATATGAGGGGAAGAAACGTCAAGATGGTGAGCCCGAGGATGAAGACGTCACCGACGACTTACATCCGGAGGCGAATCGACCGACAGATCGTGATGAACCGGGATACTATGCACAGCATGGAGCGACCGAGTTCAATCCCGAAGAAGGAAGAGACAACGAAGATCTCCCCATCTATTGTCGAGTACCGGAACCTCGAATCTATGCGCATCAAGAGAGAGCCTACTGTCAGGACGTCTCCATGAATGCATCGGGTTTGATGGATAGGTATGTGGTCAAATGTGTGCTGAACATGATCTCCCTGATGTACAAGAGCTACTATTGCACCAGCCTTACCGACTTCAAAGCAAATTGGAAAAGGAAGCGTCTGGATGTGATAAGCAAGTTCGGTACAGAGGATTTCACTGAAATCGATGACGATGGGAGACCATTGGATCCAACAGATGACATGATGAGAATCTTTGCCAACAAAAACAAGATTACGATTGAGGAGGCCTGGCACCGATTCAGAGGAGAGCAATTCATTTGCAAGGTGGCACTCGTGATCCTATCATTTGGTCATACTCCGTACTCCTTCAAGAAGGAATATGGCAACCTCGAATACTCCACCAACTTGACTGACGTCCAGCTTGAGGAGTTGAAAGCGAAGAAAGCCAGCGCAATGACTGAATTGGTACAGAAGTGCATCCATGCGATTTATGGTTGTCGGACATATTCTTACTTTAGAACCGACGTTACATCACCCAACCACAAGGTGATCGATCCTCTGGACATCATGTACTCGAGAATGAAGAGCAAATGGGAGAAGTCTATTCTGCTGATCATTGATCAACATGAGATCAGGTTGCCCCCACACGCTCAGAATGTCGTAGAGTCAATGGCCAGAAATCCCAACATTGGACATACAGAGAGATGGATGAGCGTGGTAGAACAGAAGCATGTTCAAGCTCTTACCGATCGTCTAGGCTTTGGAGATAGGGCCAAGGAGATTCAGGGCAAGAAGAAGCAGGCAGCCAAGGCAACAGCTAAGTCAACATCAACGACTAAGTCTGAAGCGAAAGCAGCATCTTCGTCAAGAGCTGAGGCAAAGCCAGCATCTACACCCAGAACCGAGGCCAAGCCGTCGTCAGCACCAAGTGAGGAGCCAAAACCTTCAACAGCACCTAAGAGTTTCGGGCCCTCATCAGCAGAGGAGAGCAAGGCGAAGGCTGCTCCAAAAGCCAGACCACATGATAAATCACCATCCAGTGCTACCGATGTGTTTGAGCAAGCTTTGCAGGAAGATCTTGCCGCCAACGCACATGCAGCAGAAGGTACAACTTCTTCATCATCCCGAGGACATTCCAAAGGAGGAGGCCAATCTGGAACATCTTGGAGGCCGGCGCTAACGCAAGAACGTCGCGAAGTACCTCAACCTTCTGAAAAGGGGGGAAGGGAAAGAGCAAGTCCAAGGGAAAGTCCAAGAAGGGAGAAGATGATCGACGGGATGCTCAGGGCAGCTGGGATCATCGTGGATGGAGAGGTTATCGCCAGTGGTGATTTCTTTGAACGACTATGAGGATACCATGCAAACCAGGGAGGAAGTCATTCACCGGATGTCTATCTGACCTGAAACGCTGTAAGTGTATCATTGCAAATCATCAATCCGATTTGATACCATGAGCATAATGGAAGGCAGACAGTCACCGACTGTCTCTCCGACTTGCCGTTCTGTAAGTGTATCCAAACCAAAACCTACATCTTTTGAGAAGTGTGAAGTCAGTTGCCGATGTGACATCTACGTGGAAGTCACCAGTTCGGATCTACATCAAAGCGATGCTCTTTTGAGTGGATACTGAGCGAGGCCTCGTGACTGTCTCACTTGTTCAATTCGATTTTCATAGGTTCTGAGCCATAGTTGCACACTTTATATGTAAAAGTCCGCTTTAGTCCAGCATGTTTCGTAGTATGAGCCTCATATGAGTCTCGCGGCAAATCATACAATTTCTTTTGTAGCACTTACATCCCTAAATTTTCGTGTGTGATCGGAACATATTGTTGCCGTTCACATGGGGGGTGCGAATGGAAGTGCAGCGACACGTACAGTGCAACTTGTACATATATATGTACCATATGTACTTTGGCTCAAGGATCAAGCGACTAGAAAAGGTGCGGTTTCCGTTCCGACGCTACGCCGCTTATGGATCGTCAGTGATAGCTTCAAACTTCGCTGATTAAGATCCACTCGCATTTTAAAAAAAGCTATAAGTATGTATGTATGTATGTATGTATGTATGTATGTATGTAGGTGTGTCTTTCAAAAGCTTTCCTTCTATGAAAATATAAAAATCTAGGAAATCTACTTTCCCAGAGATCCAGAGGAAAGCTATTGAATCTAGAGATGTATTGTATTATATCTTCATTCGCTCATGATGCTACATTCATTGTGGGCAGAGAGAGATTTACCTGATAATATTTATCATTGGTGTTGCACATTGACAGTGGGCAGACGAAGAGCTGTTATTTGTTGTCATTGACATTGGACATGGAGACTGGGCACAGACAGATCCAAAAAATTATGTTTCGCCTAGTTCTCAGAGCAGTTTTTGAAATTTTGCACGCTATTTACAGTGTTTTCTAAGGGTTTTGAGCTGTGTGCTCTCCCAAGCACACCCACCCTCTTTTTTAATAGGTACTCGGGATTACTGATCCAGAACTCGTTTGTGGTCCTCAGGACTCCTCCGACGATGGCTGTTATTGTTCGGATCAAGACCTTCGAGGATTGCTTCAGTCCATGTCGGGAGCATCGACCAGAAGCTTGGTTTGCAGCTGTAGCCAGCACGGGCCACACAAGTTGTACTTGTATCCAACGTGTTAGACCATGACTGTGAATAGGTTGTTTTGCCATTCACTTTGCTGCTTGGTATGTTTGCAGGGATCCTAGGGGCAGCGCAGGCTGGAGACAAGGTCCCTAGGCCCTAGGTCAGGAAACAACAACAACAACAACAAGGCACAAACAAAAACTGCAGCCCCGTTACAAGATATCTTGGTCCTTTGTTTCTGCAAGGGGGTGGAAACAAAATCTGCAACCCTGCCCCCCCCCGAAAACAACCAGCCAACATGTACTTTTACCAGTAGCGGTAGTGCTTGTACTAGTGCTAGTACTAGTGGTACTAGTAATAGTCGTAGTCGTTGTTGTAGTGGTCGTAGTAGTAGTAGCAGCAGTAGTAGTAGTAGTAGTAGCAGAATGAGTAGTAGTAGTAGCAGAATGAGTAGTAGTAGTAGTAGTAGTAGGAGGAGGAGGAGGAGGAGTGGTAGTGGTAGTGATAGTGGCAGTGGCAGTAGTAGTAGTAGTCGTCGTGGTGGTGGCGGTGGTGGTGGTGGTAGTCCGGTCAGCAAAGCCTCTGTAAAACTTCTACTTAGAACCTTTACCACATCCTAGAGACAAAAACTGCAGCCCCGTTGTTGTTTTTTGAACCCCCCCCTCAAAAGATGTTGTTGTCTCTACCCGCCCTAGAAACAAAATCTGCAGCCCCGTTGCTGTTTTTTGACCCCTCCAGAACAACATCCCAAAAAAATCAAAAAACAAGAGACAGACCAACCAAGACTTGAGTACCACAACGACAAGAAGTCCAGCTACTAACATCTCTCCAAACCTTCGAACCTGCCCCTAACAGTGTCCCTTTGAAATCCCTGACTTGCAACATGTGACAACTATGTTGGGCAGCTGTTTTTGCCTCTACCAAAAACAACAACAACAACAACAACAACAAGCTACAAACAAAAACTGTAGCCCCATTACAACATGTCTTGTTCCTTTGTCTCTACAAGGGGGTGGAAACAAAATCTGCAGCCCCGTCGTTGTTTTTTGACCCCCCCCCAAACAACCAGCCAACAAGTACTTTTTACAAGTAGTGGTAGTGCTTGTATCGTTGTTGTAGTCGTCGTAGTAGTAGTAGCAGCAGCAGTAGTACTACTACTTCAACAACAACAACAACAACTACTACTACTACTACAACTACTACTACTACTACTACTACTACTCGTACTCGTGCTCGTACTCCTCGTCGTCGTCGTCGTCGTCGTACGTCGTCGTAGTAGTAGTAGTTGTTGTTGTTGTTGTCGTAGTCGTAGTCGTAGTCGTATTGGTGGTGGTAGTGGCAGTGGTAGTGCTAGTGGTAGTGGTAGTGGTAGTAGTAGTGGTAGTAGAAGTAGTAGTAGTTGTTGTTGTTGTACGTAGTTGGTGTTGATAGAATAAACAGCCGCCCAATATAATTGTCACATGTTGTAGCTTCGGAACTTCAAGGGGACAAGGTTAGGGATACGGTTGAAGGTTTGCACGAATGTTGGTTTCGTAAGTAGGTGGACTTGTTGGACTTGTTTCACTGAAGTCTGGGCTGGTCCATTTTTAGTGTTTTTGAGGTGTTGTTCTGGAGGGGTGGGTCCAAAAAACAACAACGGGGCTGCAGTTTTTGTCTCTAGGATGTGGTAGAGGTTCTAAGTAAAAGTTTTACAAAGGCTTAGCTGACCGGCACAACAACAACAGCTACAGCAACAGCAACAACAACATCCTGCACTTGGATGGAGGGGGTAGAACCGTCAGCTGCCTTGTGCGTCACATCACTCAAGTTGTATCTTTCCTCACCAACTCGGTTCTATCGTGTGCCTCAAGGCGCCTGGAATAGCGATTGAACAGCACGGATGCAAATCATTGTCCATCATTCCTCCGTTGTAACCATTCATTCTGGCCCTGTGAATTCCACAAGAAGTCTAACCTGAGAGCGCTTGGATTTTTAGGTTTGTTCCTTTCTGTTCCACTGAGAGTGTGTGGTGCCGGGGCACGCTTGGCCTGAAGGCAACTCAGCGCCTGTGACTCTGAACATCGTGGTAGGCTTGCAGGAGCGAGTCCGTTTCTGCCTTCACCTGCTTGGCTAACAGAACTCCTGATGTCATTTTGCCATTCTCACCCCCACAAACAACTTTGTCGACCATGCCAATGACCTCCTTGAAAGGAGGCCAGCAGTCACAGGAGGCCAGCAGTAACTCGGCAGCATTAAATGGGTGCGTTTTTGGTTTATTGTTCCATCGATAGCGAAATCCATGGCTACAGTCCTGAAGCTCCACTTTGTTTTTTACGTTTTTTGGGGGGGGGCATCTGATCTCCAAGCTCCTTTGGAACCCCGAATGGTGAGGCTGCCGTTACTAACAATCAAGCTCCTTGGTTGAATGAGGTGCCCAGAAACTTTGGTAGGCGATTCCCGAATTACAATGCAGATGTTACACTTTGGGTTGCGAGAACAGGATCTCACTGTATCCAACCGCGTTATAATTAGCAATTATTGAAGTGATGAGGCGCCCACTTGAGGAGAGAAATGGACTAAACCGTTGTGTTCACCTGGAACCACATTGTTTAATTTGCACATATACATTGGGACATTCATCAGGTTCTTTAGTGGTGAACCTGCCATAGCCAATACACTATTTCATAAGACCTAGAAAGTATTGCATATACTTTGAGAAACTATAACACCATAACATGAGAAAAACCTCATCCAAACCACTTGAAACTAATCATAAAACCAAACTATACTATATCAGAAACACTGGACATTATGCAAGTGTTAGTACAAACAATCTGGAAATTACATTCTATTGAAAAAACAACCAGATGAACTATGGGATTCTTGTTGCAAGAATGCTTCATATGTACAGGAACAGCCTAAAAACAAATTCTAAACCTTAAATACCACAATCTACTATCTACCTATCGCAACCTGACCCAAAGCTCATCGCAATATGATATACATTTAGAAAGGATGAGGTCCCCACTTACAGATATGGCGTCGTGTTTATTTCGTTTGCTACTTCCGGCATAGTGCTACAGATGATGATCCTACTGAGTACCACAGCACCTCACTTTTTGGGAGTGGTGATCCCTCAAAGGAAGTGATTGCATACTGTACACCTTAAGAAAGCTTACAAAAACTGGGTCCACCCCCCCTCACCTTGCAATGACAGCATGTTGAGCTTTCGATCCGAATAAACAACAGCACTTTGCTTTTGGTTCGCAAGGCAGAGGGCATTTCCGATGAAAGAGTTCAGCTCATCAACCAGATCTTTACTGCACTGAACCGAAGTTGCACTGGCTACCTCAATGAGAGCGAAATGCGGCCTTTTGCTAACCGAACGGGCAACTTGCCATTGTTTGGAGCATTTTGGAGCGCTTTTGTTGCTTCTTTTGTGTTTTGGATGCCAAGGCTGCCAAGGTGTGTACCAAACTAGGTGACGACTGCTGTTTGAGAATCCCTTCTCGAAGCTTGTTTTGGGTGAGGAGGCTGAAGACCTTTGCTGACTTAAAACCCATTGGATGTAAAACGAGGTTTCGAAGGCACAGATCCAGAATGGCAAGCAGAATTCCACTTGCTCCAGAAAGAGTGTGACTAAGCTGCAAACAGGCAAAAAAAATCAAAGCACGAGCACAGATTGACCGGCAGAACCTCATGAGAGTTGTTGTGCAAAAACATGCCTGTCTCTGTGTCTGAGAAGGGGGTCTCATTGCATTGGCTAAGGTGGTTCCGGCCCAGGGATTTCATTGTACCACTTTCAGCGTTTGGCCAATGTGACTTGGAAAGACGGAAGAACAATTATATAACAAATCTGCAGTGTTTAGAGATTGTGAAGTCGATTGGTGCCTTGTTTGTTCTCTATTATCCATTTTTATTTCTTTTGGTAGGATATTGGACAGCAAGACATGCCGTGTGTCCCGATGCTTTCTTGCTACACGTTCTTTGGACGCTGAGCAATATTCAAGTGAATGACCGGAGGTTGGACGCCCAAAGTGTTGAACTCTCAAGACTTCAAACATCCTGAAAAGCAAAACACTTTGCTCAGTCCTGAATCCGTCCAACTGAGGACACATCTGATGATGGTTGCTATTGTTCTGACGAAGATCTCCGAGACTTCCTTCAGTCCACGTGTGGAAGGGCAACTAGAATCTTAGCTTGCATTAGATCAACGGCAGGTGCCATGGAGGATTTGATCTAAGAAACATCGTAAGTGAATGTAACTAGTAACAAGACGCTACTAGGAACAAGGGCATCGCTACTAGGAGCAAGGACGCTACTAATAGTAGCTCCTGGCCATACTACTAGCAACAAGAAGCTCTAGTGTTTCTTTATGGTACAGCGATGATATCCAACTCAGCGACCTGCAGCCGTTGATCCGACTTGTGGTTTGGGGGTAGGCACAGGTTGGCACAGCCCTAAGGACCTCGGTTAGGACAATTCAAGCGAAGGAACAACCGAGGCTGAACACGAGGTTAGTAGCTTCTTGCTCCTAGCAGCTTCTTGTTCCTAGTAGTAAGGCCAGGAGCCCCTAGTAGCGTCCTTGCTCCTAGTAGCGATGCCAGGAGCCCCTAGTAGCTTCTTGCTACAACTGGGATGCACGCATACAAGGGAGCATGATGGAATATGACAGAGCAACCCATGCTGCTTGTTCAGGCACCGTCCGTCGAGGTAGAAATTACATAATTACGGCAACCCTTGTCTCCTTATTTGGAGGGAATGCCATGGCTCAGCTTCACAGTTGACTCCAGTTGCTCATCTTAAGGCCATAAATATAGGAAAATCGACAATTCGTGCTCAACCTCATGTTCAACCTCTCTTGATGAAAAGGTAAGTGATGGTAGGTGTGTAATGTGTATATATATATATACAATTACATGAGATGCGGTGCGCTTGCTTGTTTGCCTGAAGGCCAAGCAGCGCCTGTGGCACCGCCTGAGCCTCGCAGAGGGCCAGCTGCCATCTGGCCGCACTACGCAGTACTAAATGGAAAGCAAGTAAGTTCCCCTGTGTTTACCCTTCTATCACATTTCATTGGATTCCCACGCAGAAGGCCTACACCTTTCTCGTTTAGTCCCGAAAGGGCGGAAGTCGCTGATGTGCAGCACGTGATCTCCAAGGACTACGCGGACTACTTTGGAACCCCGAATGGTGCGGGCGCCGCTACGAATCACGCTCCCTGGAAGGCTCCTGGGCTGGAAATGAGGTGCCTTCCGCCGGCCCCCATTTCCTGATCAGCATCCAGAAGCGATGCTTGCATTTCATGCAGTACTTTTCGACAAACACGCAGGGAGTTCCTTGAATCACTCACACCACTCGTCCTAATCAATATAACATTTGTAATTACAATGCTTAGTTTGGCTCAACTGACCTTGTTGTGTAGTGACCAGACTCATGCTAGTGCTAGCGACCAGTGACTGGAATATCAACCTGTTGCCTTGCAACGGTCACCAAGGCACTGGGCACCCCTGAAAGGACTCATCTCATCGAGATTGTTTTCACTGCCTTGAACAAAAGTGGCACTGGCTACCTCAATGCGGATGAAATGCGGCTCTTTGCCAATCAGACAGGTGACTCGGATTCGTTTGGGATGCAGGCCGGTGCAATGTTTTGTCCTCCAGACTGGACACGCCCCGATAACCAAGAAGCTGTGCCCTGCCTGGTTGGCGATTGGCGTGATACTGTGATTTGGTGACACGACCGCCCTAGATTGAAATCAGCATTTGAGCACGGATGACAAACGACCTTGCATGGCTTGCATTCCGTGGGGTCAGGGATGGTCAGGGCAATCGAGGCAGCCCACAATTCCAAGAAGGAAATCAAATCGACTTGTGTTAAATTGTCGTTAACCCATGTGTGTAATTGATTTTTGCGACAGTACGTACGAAGGCTCAACAATCCGCTGTCCAGGTTTTGAGGGCACTGATGCGGAGTGGCGAGAAGAATTCTCCTTGCTGGCGCGAGAGTGTGGCCGAGCTGCACACCGCAGACCGTGGCTGCCGCTGTCTCTGTTTGTGGACCAAACTCGGCTTAACGGCTCAGGTGGCTCCGTTGAGGGGATCTCACTGAACCACTTTCAGCGTTTGGCGAACGAGACTTGACAAAGAAACGAAAAACATCGAAAACACCGAAGGCAAGTTGGGGCACTTATTTTTCAAAAACTGGACCACAAGCGCTGTGATCGCAAGTATTTGTTTCAAGTGTCTTGCTCATTGAAGTTTGTTGTGTTGGGTATAACCATGACGTCCAGATTTAGACTTTTGGTTGGTCTGCAATCATCGGTTATATTGATATTTATGCCACTTTTAAAAATGCAGGCTTGCCTGTCAGTTGCGTGAGATATGTCAGGGCTCTCAGCTGTTCAGTACCTGCGTCATCCTTTTGATACGCCGCATCACCCAGTCACCAAACATCAAGGGAACTCGACCTCCTTGGGGTTGCAATGACGATAAATGAAATGTTGCCTGGTTTCGAAGGGCCAGAACGCCATTATTGCACATTTACCAGCTTGCTTGTACTTTACTGCTTGCTTGTTTCCAATGCAGATTTGGTGGGACTGCTCGGACAATTCCGCAAATCGTTTTCATCGTCGAGGCCGAGTTGACAAGGTCAGAATTCCTTTGCTCGGGAGGCTAGATTGAAGTGCAGTGACAAGGAAGCCACATGTCCTACTCCTCCGAAAGTGTAGTGACGACCACAAAAGCTATAACACATGTGTATGTCAGTTTTGAGGAGGTTCAACTTCGATGCTTTGCAACAGAGATACAGAGGGGGAGAGGGGGTGGAAGGTCAGCAAAAAGTTATATAGTTGCTTATAGACTTGTAGGCCTTTATCAATTAGTTTTGCAGGGCATCATGGCCGCTGTATGCAATGAGTACGAATGAGAACTCATCGAACTCGTGTTCACCTATTCCGACATGCGTACGGCTGAAGTTTCCATTCACTTCCCAATCACCCTGAGGACTCCTCGGACGATGGTTGCTACTGTTCGGACGAGGATTTCCGAACATTGTGGGGATACTTGGTGGGAAGCTTGTCTTGCATCACAACGCGGCGCGAGGCCAAACAGAGACGCACGGAAGGAGGTTGAACCAAATGCTGGATGTTCAAAGTCTGAGGTAAGCGTGTAACTAGCCGGATAGACTGCCAAGTTCCGTGCCAAAAGTGCTGATGGGGCAGAACATGCATGTCGCCGGTGACCATGCCATCAATCCATGCCTTCGTGGTACAGAAAAGAATGCACGGTGACCAGTGACCAGGGTGTGCTTTTTTTGTTTCTAGGTGCAGAAGATTTAAAATCAATTGTGAGATGAAGTCATGCTGGCAAATAATGGTTGTTGATTAATAAAGCCCTGGTGTGGTAATTGGATGTGCTTTCTTCTGTTCTTGAGGTAACTCAACGGCGGCACCACTTGCTTGCCCTGCACCTGAGCCTCAGCCAGCAATTCAGCCACAGTGTCCGAACAGTCCAAGAGGATCGGTACATGCTGCAGACGGTTAGCAATGGACGGTCGGACGGAAGTTGCTTCGACTCATGAAATATAGTGCTCATTTGCCATGGATGTACTGACACATACTGTACCTAACACGAGATTTACATACACCAATCTTCCCAAGCATCCTACAAAAAATCTCCATGGATGCCATTTGAGGTTTTCGACGTAAGATGACATGCCCCGCGGTGAACGTCCTCTCCACTTTGGTTCCTTCCTACTTGTTCTTCCTGCTTGGCTCGTATTGTTTGATGGCCCATTGCCAGTGCTATCCGGTTCTTTCCGTTTGGAGCTCCTTCCAATGCCTTGTACATCATAGTTTTTACAGCTGTGTCATATTGTGTTGCACACCACAAGGAACACGTCTTTGTAGCAAAAACTTGGACAAATGGGATCGTGTGCCACTTTTGTTTTGCCTCAAACATGACTATCATTTTGGCCTCCGAAGCTGACTTAACCAAGTCGTCGCATGGGTTTGAGTCGGACCAGTGCGATGGTTTTGAAAAGCAGCATTCATGCGGTGTGTTGTTTAGATTTCTCAAGCTGTGCCCCATTGAGTGCTAAGGGCAGCAAGAAGAACAATGAACCTGAGAAAAGCTATGGTGCGGCCACCAACTCTCGGAGCAGTCATGGTCATGGCGTGACTTGATTCAGACTGGACCGACCAAGCACCGTTGTATCCTAAACATGTGCAATTGTCATCAATTGTCCAGAAAGGACTCCATCCCACTCCATGACTCTTTGATGGCCTTTGGGGATAGATGTTTGATGATGTTTGGGAAAACTGCTTGACAACAGCTGTTGAAGTAAAGACTAGTAGTTTTGAGTCCTCGTAGGTTGAACTTTGTGTTCAGGACTGAACATCAGATCCCGAGGAGCAAGAACTTTCCGGTGCCCGGTTGATCCCAGTTATAGATCAATAGTTCAAAAAGTACATGACTTCATGTTGTATGATCCACTTTGGAAATCCTGAGCAATTAGGTTTGTGTGTAGAGGTCGATGGCGGTTCTTTTTGCTGTTGGGGCCCATTGCCGAGGCAAGTGGCACCAACGACAGGACACAGCTTATTCAACAAGTGTTCACTGCTTTGAACCGAAGTCGCACTGGCTACCTCAATGCTGATGAACTACGGCCCTTTGCCAACCAGACTGGTGACTCACCTTGATTTCAGTGAGTACAGTCACCGAGAAAATACTATAGAATATAGATGTAGTTGTGTGCAATTCCACGATTTTCCCATTTCCCTATTCCTTTGGGACCTTTGGCTTGCATTCCTGGCGCGCATACTGAAAAGGCCCATCCTGACAATGCCACCAAAGGCAGCAAACAGTGAAGCCGAACGTGGGGAATCCTGTCAACATTTGTGAACCTCGAATGGAATGTCAGAACTGAACAAAGGGAGAGACCTTTGCGGATCGACACGATGTGACTATGACCCTTTTCTCGATTTCTGATCGTCCTGATTTGATCTGGTACGAGTGTAAGCCTTTCAAAGAGGATACATGACACACAAGACACATAAGTGGCGAAACCTCGTGGAACACTTCGAGGTTTCGAGGGCACAGATCCAGAATGGCAAGCAGAATTCCACTTGCTCCAGAAAGAGTGTGGCTAAGCCGCAAGCAGGCAAATAAGTAATCAAAGCACAAGCACAGATTGACCGGCAGAACCTCGTGACATTTGTTTTGTGACAAAAACTGGTCCTGTGTTTGAGGAGGGGGTGTAATTGCATTGGCTAAGGTGGTTCCGGCCCAGGGATTTCATTGTACCACTTTCGGCGTTTGGCCAACGTGACTTGGAAAGAAGAAACATGAAAGGACGAGAACCCATGTACCAAGAGAGTTGCGAGAAATGCATAAACATGCAATCTATTCAATGTGTGGACATGCCAAAGTCCACGGCTTCAAACACTTCCAGCAACTTCAGGGGCACTGGTCAGGCCATGAGTCTTGGAAAAGGGTCCCTTTTGCTTTTGTTGAAACCTCACAGGGTTGCAAACGATCTGCAGATGCCAATAACAGCCACATTTGTAGCAGTGTAGCCTACATGAGCGCACTCCCTTGCGGCCCTTGCGCGCAGAAGATCTTTCCACGATACGGGAGAGGAACTTCGGATAGCATGCCATGGGCAGAAGTTTAACGACTCCTCTTCAGAATGCACTCGGTGCCCTGTCCAATTCTAGACTATGACTAGGCACTCTGCTTCCTGCCTGTTCCAGACATGTTGTGATTCTAGTCATGATGAGATTTTACGCACGTGAAGCCCTTGACAAGTTCAACGAGTCTCAAGCGGTTTTGGAGGTAAAAGAAAGGCATAGCATGGAGCTTTTCTCCTCCCTCCGCGGCCCATGAACTGAAAAACCTCAAACCTGAGCATGAAGAACTTCTCGAAGACGGGGTGGGGGTAGTCTTCGTATGTTTTAGTGACTTTAGTGACCCCTAAGATTGGGAACATGAGTTGATTGAAAGGCAGTAGAAATAGGATCTACAGGCATAGTTTGTACAAAGGCCCCACCAAGTGCCCCATCGGTTTTGTGTTGACGCCGAAAATGTGTAGCCAGAATCAGCAATGCGGCGGACTGGTTTGTGTCCTTGTGCAGGGCCCCTTTAGTGTTGTTTGCGGCATTCACAGGTCAAAGCAAATGCTTCAGCAGCATCAGCACCGAAATGCACGACTTGCACACTCAAACATCCATGATAATGTGTTGACACTGGCAACAGTGTCATGGAAGGGACAGAACAAGCCTTTGTGTGTGTGTGTTAGTGTGTGCTGTGAGGTTTTTGTTGCGGCTCGTTCTTCATTCAACGGATTGCAACAGCAAACCCGCATGTATAAACAGTCCGGTGACATGCCTGCACTTGTACTGCCTAAGGGTCTTCAGCAAACCTTCTTTATTTCATTGGTTGCCAGGGTCATCCTTGGGCTCATCTTACATTTGAACCTTTTTTGTGTGTAATAAATATATGGATATATATATATATATATTACTTATTCTTAATTCTTCATAGTTTTCAAGTCTGCAACTCCGCTCAAGGACTCCTCCAACGATGGTTGCTACTGCTCGGATGAGGGGCTCAGAACATTGCTGCAGTCCATGTGGCAAGGGTCGGCTAGAAGCTTGGCTTGCACCATAACATATGAGCAACAGAGGTGGTGTGCCATATTTCAGGTCTCGTGCCAAATGTTGGCAGGTGCTCTGATTGAAAAAGTGTTGAAATTCTGCGGCCTATGCAAAATTCAGGAAAGACCTGGAGAAAGTCGGAAGACCTGCGGAATACCAAGTTGGCCTAAGAAATGTTTCTTCTGACAACTTTTGGCAGGTGTGCTTACCTAAAGGTTCTGAAGGAATCCGTTTGTTGCTCCATGCTTCAGTGTCGTCGGTGCCCAGTTTCCGCAGAAGTGGGGGGGGTCATGAGTCAGCGACCCTGGAGTTTGTGACAGAAAAGGGGCCAAAGAAGCAAAAGCGATCTGAGCAAATGCAAGTGCGCAAGTTTGAGGAACAATTTTGCATATATACGATTTTAGTATTGAGATACATAATAAGCTAAGCCCGTAGAGTTCTGGTGAGTCGGAGCAGGAACTGCTCGGGAGCGGAACATTGGGCTTTGTAGAACAGGGGCCGGAACTATGCTGATCAGATAGCCTTTGAACCACATTGTTCAACAAATCGTTGGAGCCATCCCCACCCCAGCATTTTGAAAGATGCTCCTGTTGTAGTTTTGCTGCAGGCTTCTCAGCGCCCATGGCAACGCGGGAGCCTCGCCAGGAGCCAGCCATTTGGCTTTCAGGAAGAATCGAGGGAGCTAGGATGAACCTTTGAGGTCAGGCGGCTATCATATCATTCAACCAGTCATGTATTGGTGCTAACAAATTCAAGAGACAAGAGTAGATCTGGCTTTGGCAGCTCTTGACCCAGCCAGGCGGTCGCCCAGGCGAGCGGTGCAGATGAAAGAACGCAGCTTATTCAACAAGTGTTCACTGGGTTGAACCAAAGTCGCACTGGCTACCTCAATGCGGATGAGATGCGGCCTTTTGCGAACCAGACTGGTGACTCAGCTTCTATCGAATCCAATTGATGTTTGGGGATTGTTTGGAGTTTCACAGGTGCCAATCGGTGAACTCGGCCGGACCAAGCACCCAACATCAAATATTAATCACGTGGTATCATGGCACAGGGGTGCCCAATGGGTCAGGAACCTTTCCTTCACCCACATATCATACGTGATTTGATTGTTAGTTGCTGAATGTTCAGTAAACTATATACTATGTACAAAGGAGACAGGGTCTAAACCTGGACAAGATTCTATGACACGTTCCATCCATTTTCACTCTTGACCGCGTGTTGTACTAGGCGGGAGCCGGGAATTAATGGAGCTTGCAGACTCAGTGTGTGGAGTGGTGAGGGTGGCAGCCTCAATAGAAAGCATACAATGCTGCAGTCGAACAAAGCGAATGAGGTTTTCAGGGCACAGATGCAGAGTGGCGAACAGAATTTAATTTGCTCCGGCAAGAGTGTGGCAAAGCTGCAATAGAGTTTGCGTGCCGTGCTGACTGGCCAATCAAACTTCTGGTTGGAACCATGTAAGTAAACAAATTGGGCCACCTGGTGCAGGATAGTTTCCTTCAACAGGAGTAGTTTGCGAATACACCAGCCGAGGTGGCTCTGGCCAGGGGGTCTCCATGTACGACTTTCAGCGCTTGGCCAATGAGACTTGGAAAGACGAACTGAGTGGCTGGACCGGCACCTCTATTCTACTCAAAGTTTGATCCCCCCGAAGGAGAATGGTGTTTTTTGTTTTTTGTTCGATGTTTTTCGTTTGAACGTGCGACGGGACAAAGATTTCGTGGCCCCGCCTGCCCTTCCAAAAGCACTTCAGCTGGCTCCTTGAAGAAGCAAAGGTGAGGAAGAAGGTGAGTGCTTTCCAATGGTCCACTTTGACAATGCAAGCCTTCTTCGGAAAGGGCTCGATCAGCAGAGCTGTGGTGCACAAAGAGCAATCAATGTCAAAGTATGGTAGCATGGGAGCACTGCTGAAAATGTTGCATCAGAGGCACAGGATGTGTTTCTGGTGTCCAGTCACCCCCGGCGCAGACACCACAAACGTTACCCTGACTTTCCTCGCCATGAAGTTCATTGAACATTGATATGCATCGATGTACATAGTTGATTCTATATGTGAGATTAAACATGATTAAACTACCCTTTGTTCATATGTTTCCATACTTTTGCCATTGGTCAATGTTCCAAACTCCGTCTCCTTCAGGACTCCTCGGATGATGGTTGCTACTGTTCTGACGAGGAACTCCGCGCATTGATGTGGTCAATGCAGGGAGGAGGGTCGTCCAGAAGCTTGGTTTGAATCATGACCAGCAGAGCACAGATGTATATAGAGGTGGTTTTATACTGAGAAGATAGCTCAGATGGCGTGAAGAACAAGATGCTCGTAAGTGATGATGAGCCTAAACCCCTTCTATCATGCCGACTGACGTGAAGGTTGAATATATATATATATAGAGAGAGAGAGAGATGTATATACACTGTAACAGGCTAGTTCAGACAAGCTAGAAAAAGGGACGCATCTACCTCTTGTGACTGCACAACAAAAACGACTTTGCGGATTTGTTGTTTTGTGATGTTTGCCTTTTGCCCAATTGAATCTTGGTCGTATCATTGGCGGAGAGCGGTGCAGGGCATGGAAGTTCCACAACCTTCTGCCAGCTCACACGAGCTCTTGAGCCGCAACCGCCGCTGATTCTTCCAATCTCAGGCTCCGCCTTTAGGCCACCGCCAGGATTGGCTCATCCTGAGAGCTGCAGCTGAGGGCCTTTTTGTACAGTTAGGATTAGGTCCCCTGGAAGATGCTGAGCTTGAACGATGGTCAAGCCATTTTTGGTTCACACTGCCCAGGAAGTGGTCTAAAGGATGCCAACCAAGATGCTTTAGCAGTAGCCTGGGCCCAGTAGCTTTTTGCAGGCCCAGGTTCACAACCCAGGTGATTCTTGGGGTCAGCACAGTTGCACCATTGTAGCGTATTATAGCCATGGTCATGATGATTACCTTCCTACATGTTAAAAGATCGTGTTCAAGTCCAGCATGTCAGTGGGGCGCAGTCGGCCAGCTTCATGTCATTCTGAAGCCGTAGATCAGGGGTCCCGGCTCGGGACTGGCAGCTCGACGGACTGACAGGCGAAGTCGCTTTTCGATGATTGAATGCCAAGTCCAGATGCCATGGCCTGTCAAAGGGATGCAGCTTTTTGAAATGGGATAACCCCCAACCAAGATCCTGCTTGCTCTTTCCGTAAGCTAACAGTTTCTCGAGGACCTGTTGCTTTGAGGCATTGCACATTGAGTGTCAGACATGTTGAAGTTTGGATTTGGCCGTGTACACGCGGACTTCGGCATGACCAGGACAGTATCGTTTCACTTCGTGCACAGACATCTCTCAATCATCCAGAAAAGTTGGGTGAGGATTGGATACAGTTGTTGTATGTTTGTTTCTATTGCGCGTGCGTGTGAATTGAACTGACCAGAAGCGACTATCTTTTTATACAATTACATGTTTCTTAGGTGCAACTTGTGTTGTAGGGATGATCTCTCCATGGCCATAGTCTTGAAGGAAGCGAGGAGGTTGTTTTGCAAGTTTGTCCTTCGACTTCTATTTGCGTGTGTTTTGGTATGTGGGTAGCCATCCCCGATAGGGTGTAGAAGGTCCGAGTGCCAGACAGGAAGACATATGAAGAGATGCAAAGATGATTGGAGATGTGTTGCGATTTGTCCAAATGCATTGATAGGGGTCGGAGGTGCTCCAAGACATCGTGGCAGCGATTTGTTGGTGATTTTTGGACCTGGTGTTTTGTTGTGGTGAAATGTGGTGTGGTGATTGGCAAGTACATGCAGGAACTTGCAGTGCTCATAGATTCCTGCTTTATATAAACCGTGTTTTCTGCCATATGTTGTAATTTTTGGTGAGCTAAGCTCAGCGAGCTACTTGGTTGGTCCGTTTTGTAGTCATCGATGGTGCCTTGCGCTTTTCGCTCCGGGCTTGGAGTGCCAAGCAAAGCCCAACACATTTGGGGTGCATTCGTGACATACCTGACCAGGCCGACCGACGTAAACTCTATATATCTCTATATATTATATATTATATACTGCACTGTAATTATATAATCTGAACGCCTATGTTACAAGATATTAGTTGTGAACATATGAAACCGTGCCGGAAATCGTCCCAGGGGCACTTCAAATAGAAGTATAAATTTTAAACAAGTGATTCCAGGCAAACTTTCAAATAGAAGGTATGCATCGGCAATCCACGGCTGCCCGCCCAATCTTGGATCAAGTGAAATGGCGGCGGGCATGGGAGACCTCACCTTCCAGGCACACTTTGCCTTTGTTTTGCGGGGCAGGCAGGTGGGACGCCAATCAAGAAGCTACACACGGGACTGGTAAACACGGGACAAGAGGAACAGTGCAGCTGTGTTACACATGAACTGACTTGTTCTCGAGCTTCTTCTTTTTGAACGTGCAGAGGTGCAGCTTTGCTGCACATGAAGCGAATTGTTTCTCGAGCTTCTTCTGTTCTGAAAGCGCCAAGGCAAGCCTCTGTAGCGGTCAATCAACCGCAAGACTGTGTGCACAGGCGGGGCCGCCTCATCGGCGGAAAAGCTACCCAAGTTGAAGGCGGAGAGAAGGACCAGCTGAGCTGTTTCCCCCTTTTCCGGCACATGTTGATTGATATGCGTCTTGAGTCTTGTATTTCAAGCCAGGCTAGGGAAACACAATGTCTTTGTCACTTATTCTTATTGTGCTTCCACCAAGGCTGTAGCAACAAGTTTCCTAATTGAAGCCTGTGTAGAATGCTTAATGTGACAAGAGAGAGACGCACCAGTAGATGCACCTGGCCTTGTTTTGCGGGCCAGGCAGATGTGGCGCCACTCAAGAAACAAAACACGGGAGACGAGCAACAGTGCAGCCTTCTTACACATGTCTATTCCTAAAGTTAATTTCTTATGCCAGTGAAAACCTTGTGAGACGGAGTGTGCTTGCTGCTTCAAGGCAGGGGTGGCCAATGACTATTTCTTGATAGCACCAAGTCCTGTTTGGAGAACAGTATATATATATGTTAGTGCCTATTTATATGTGTAACTCGTGATTTGGTGTGCTTGCCAGGCCGACCAGAAGCCAGCCGAGAAGCAAAAGGACAAGTTGAAGGACAAGGTACAGCATGCGGAGAAGAACCCACCAACGGCACAGCTACAGCCTTGCTCATCATGCACTCGCTTCAAGTGGATTTCTTCGAAATGAAATGGCAAAGGTGGACCACACACTAACAAGACTGTGTGCACGCATTCCTTTTCCACAAAAGCTCAAAATGAGCATTAACCTCATTAGAGGAACCTGGAACTCACCAAAGAGCGTGGTCGGACATCGGAAAAACAAAAGCAGCTACCTGACCATGTCCTTGCTTTCTTCCTTTTACATGATTTTTTGTATTAGAAGTTTTTCTTCTTGTGTGTCTAATTCAATAATGGCTCAGCGATGCAACACTATCTTCTAGTTGAAACTTGTGCTGAGGTTGCTGAAACTTGGGGCTCAATCCAGAATGTTGAAAGGAGATGATAATGATATTTGCTTCCCTTTCGTACAGCTGTTTGATTTGCAAGACCCCAGGATGATGATTTGGCATCGCTCAAGTCAGCTGCCAGCTCTGCAGCTGAAGGGCCACAATTTGTGATCTACCATTCGCAAGATGAGACTGGAGTGGCAGTCCAACACTTGCTTCGAACGAGTTCGTTTTCAACTGCCAACAAGGCTGTGGCCCTGCCACCGAACCCTTCTAATGACTATGCGATCAAGCTGGACAGGAACGCTGGTGAATATTACGTTGCAAGCCAGTCTTGCAAGTTGGCCCTGTGGGTTTCTTAGCTGCAGACAATGACAAGCAAAACTACTCACAACTTCTGCAAATCGGTCCTGCCTTTAACTTGCGGTGCTTCGCAGCTGCTCCAAACTAAGTGCGATGATCTCGTTGCAGCTCCAGTAGCAGAGCCTCCTGCAAAGCAAGCGCGTGCCAGTGAGGGAGATGAGGCGGTGGATAGTCAAGAGACTGAGGCTATGTCCCGCCTCAATCTACTTGAGACTGAGGTTGGTCCAAGCTGAAGGCCCAACAGATTGAGGATGCTGAGTTGTTCTTCGTGGGATCAGCAAGCCACAGGGCTTGGGTTTGTGCATCTTGAAGCATGTACTTCACCAGGATGGCCAAGAGGCTCAAGAAGCGATGAACTTCATCTATGAGGACGCGAAGTGTGTCGAGAAGGGGCTGCATGGACTGAGCAGCGGAGCACGTCCTGAAGAAACAGAGGCCTAGTTGATACACTGTGCTCAAACTCAACTGAATCCAAGTCAGTCTTTCAACTTCAACATTGGCATAGAACTCCGTGTCGGTTTTCTATGCGCAGGGTCTGGAGAATGCTTTCATGCACCTAAGGGTGCGGTGCAGGAGTGGTGTGACTCATGTAGGCTTGTTGTGACCAAGGTGTGAAAGAAAGCTGGTTGAAACTAACATGGAACGTGGAATGTGGCCAATGTTTGGTCAAACTGTCCGGCAGAAGCTTTGGTCCCACGTTGGAATTCGGCTGCATTGTACCATTTTTGGTAAGCGGTTGGATCAGCGCGAAGGACTCACTGGAGGACTTGATTGGTTACACATCCGACCATATCTCTCAAGATTCGCGCTCATCAAGCCAAACAACTGCAGAGCGAGTATTCTTCACCAACGTGAACTCGAAACGGCTGCAGTCAGCTTTCATCGAGTTGCAGCAAGGAGACTACAAGGCGGCTGCAAAGGCAAATCGCCAGGTGTTCGGAGAGAAAGTGTCTATCACATCAGCTGTGGCGCAGCAAATGAAGGAAGCTTGCCAGACAGGCCAGCATTTCTGTTTCAGAGGTAGTAAGTCAGCCATCATTCGATTGGTAGTTTGCGAAATGAAACAATTGCATTCAGGTTTATGTTGCTATGACATGCGACAGGACAGGCAGCGCCAACTAACACATCTGCGAAGCCCGCTGGTCAGCTTGCTGGGATGAGAAGCGTTGCTTCCATGGTGGCGCTGAGGCTAACAGCGCCAGGAGTTTAAAGGCATCCTCGACCTTTGGGCAGGCGCTCTGTTGGAAGAAGGCCTTGTCTTCCAGAATCTGGATTCCAATGAAGTGTTCCTCTCATTGGGCTTCGTGCGCGCAGTGTTTCTTCTTTGGCGCCTGCCAAAGTGTCCGGGCCATGGACGACTTACTAGAGACAAAACCGTTCTGATGTATGAGACAGCGTTTGCTGAGTAGGGTCTTTCTGTTATAGGTGACAGGGAGCAACCTTTCGAAACCGATGACGGGGTCTTCATGCTTTCTCTGCGAGTCTATTAAGCAGTCTCCAGACAGATTATGCTTTGTCGCAGTTTCTTCATTGGCAACACATTGCAACATCACTTGACACTGCCGGCGCAGAAGAAGATTGGATTGGGGTTCCTGTCGGGGTTTGTGCCTTTGCTGGCCAAGTCAAAACATTAGTTGTCATGGAAGGGCCGGGTTTTCTTGTCAGTCGTTGGTCCTGTATGCGTTTGCGTTCGGCAGTGTAACTCAGTAAGGCATTCCAGCATATCGAAGCGATATGCGACAGAGGAATTCTATTCAAACAGTGTGGGGAGAAGATGTCACTGACGGCTCACTGGCTGAAGCACGGGAGCTTGACTCCACACATGAGTAGCAAGGTCAATATGCGGGTCTTACACTGGAAGGTGAAGGTTGCAAGATTCGAGGAAAAGCGATTGATGTTTCGAATCAAGTTGAACCTTGACTTGGTCTGCAGCGTGTTTGCTTGGAATGAGCAACGCCACATGCGAAGAAAACAATTCCACGCTCACGCGCATGACTAGTAGAGTACTAGCTACGGATGGCTCTCATCACATTCAATTTTCCTTCTGATACGCCTGATGAACATCTGCGGCTACTTACCCGGTTGCTTGCGACCAGACACCGCAACTTCAGGAAGCCCTGCAACATCTTCAGCAGGAAGATCCCTCCAATGCCAGGCAGTGAAAAAATTTGCGCGAGATGTTGGCTGATCAGCAACGAGAGGAACTAATCAAGAGCCGCCTGTGCAACCCAAAGGGGGGCACAGGAGTTTCAAACACCCGCATGCTTGAAGGCTTTGAGGCCACAACCAGTAGAAGGAGGCTTTGTATATATTGACGTTTCAAGTCCCAACTGACGCTTCCCAGGGCTACTACCCTCGAAAATTGACGCGACTCCAGAGCAGGAAGGAAAAGAACAAACGACGCAAAAGACTCTGTTCAATCAGCCGTGCTTTTGGTGAAAATTGGAGCCAGCTTCAAGCTTTGACCCAAGTGGTCAACTATTTGTGGCTGCGCCACAAGAAAGCTGGTTTTGACCTGGCCTTACTTGATTGAAACACAGACCCTGAAGTATCCAGTCTTATGTGTTGGATTTCCTGGTGAGTTCTTGTTTGGGGGCAGAAAGAAACTTTTTTGCCGATGACCATGTGTGCATTCAGGATGACACAGCCAATGTGGGGCCTGATCAAATTGCAGCAACCTTGGACAAGGCAAGCCAAGTCCTTGGTGGCTTTGTGGAGATGATCGCCTGTATCAGGTGATGACCCAGACCTCCCTGGTCCTGCATCTGCCTCAGGAACATTGCCAGCTCAGAAAGGCAAGCCAGTGAAGAAATTTGAGACATTGGCGAAGCCTGCTGCCAAGAAGGTTCCCAATCCTCCTGGCAGGAAGGGGCGTGACTGGACAGATCCTTCCAATGATAAGCAGCGGGCAAACAAGGCAGAAAAGAAAGAGTCCAAAAAAGAAAGAAAGATGAGGCAGAGAAACACAAAAAGGGCAACAAAAAGAAAAGACTTGAGATGATGAACTCAAATGTTTCACAGCGCCATTACAGCGCCATTGACCTCTGAGAATGGCATTGAAGTGCTTTGCCGTCTAAAATAGTGTGTGATGCTGGGGGGGGGGAGAGGTATACATGGCGTCCATATTATGTGAGCATACGGTGTGTTTGTTTTTTCATAGGCGACAATACCTTGAACAGGCCAATATGCTTTTTGATATTCCACTTTAGGGTACTCTTGCTTGGGTACGTGACATGGGCTCTTGAATTTCAAACCTGTGCAAACAAGACCAATCGGTTACATTCACATTAGATTTGGCAATTGGACAGTGGACAGGCCACTCCATAGACATGCCCTGCAATATCTTCTTTTTGCACCTGCCTCTACTTTATAGATAGGGGAATGCGATGGCCTGCAACCTAGTAGCGATGGCCACCTAGTAGCGATGGCCTCCAACCTACCAGCGATGGCCTCCAACCCACTTTGTAGCGGTTATTGAAATGTTGAAGCCATGAACTTCCTTTTGAAACCTGCGCGAACAAGACCAATCGGTTACATTCAGATTAGATTTGGCAAGTGGACAGTGGACACACCACTCCATAGCCATGTCCTGCAATATCATCTAATTAAGCTTGCCTCTACTTCACAAATACAGGAATGCGATGGCCTCTAACTTGGTTTAAGCTAGTAGCGATGGCCTAAACCTACTAGCGATGGCCTCCAACAAGGTACATAGTCAGTCCATTGGCCTTCAAGAGAGGCTTGCAGAATATTTCAATTTTGTAGAAAGCCGGCAGACGATGTTGCCGTTGCAGAGAGAAAATCTTTTTCTAGCAAGATTCAGCGCAGATAAAACAAATATCTGAGCGCATGTATCTTTTGTCATTTGTCGCCGAGGCTGGAACTCTTGCGTGAAGGGTGTTTCACCTTCTGGGTTAGAGCCAAGGTGAGACAGGAAAAGGAACCCACCTGGCGGCGCCGTTCTTCTGTTTGAAACCGCAATTTTTTGGCATCGGACGGTGTCGACCCTTCCTGTCTATCATGGTCCTTTCTTCTACTTGAAACCTCACTTAGCTCCCTGACTAAACTGTCGCCTTCTAAGTTTTTCGCTTCTTCTATCTTAGCTGTCCGTAGTATATATGCATATGGCATTCAACTTGCTGGCAACTCAGAATTTAGCAAAAGACTAAAATCAAAAGGCCAAGCATGTCCAGGTTTGTTTGCGCCGGCATTCATGAATCCACACATATACCTTTTTGTATGTAGACATGCCCATGTAATTGCACACTTTCACTGTGACCTTCACCTACTGTAAAAGAGAAATATTTGAGAAGGGGAAATCGCACCCGAAGCAAACCCAATGGAAACTGACCAGGTTTCCTGTTTATAGCGGGGCGTTTCCTTACGTCCAGGAACCTACAAGCCCGTGACTCACAATGCCACAGTACATTTGGGACCGCTGGTAGCGATAGGTTCCCGATAGAAGAGTTGCCCTGTTTATTCGAGGCGGCGGCAAAGCATCGCCTCCTCCTGGCCCGGTTCCTTGGGGAACCGAAACGATTTTTTTCGATGATGCGCTCATATACCCTCCATCCGAATCCATGCGTTGTTTTTTCCCAGAGTTTTATTTGTTTTTTTCGGTTTCCCTGTGGCCTGTGGCCCCACTGAAAAATGATCTTCTCCCATGAAACGCTGGTGTTTGGAGCGGTCAGCCAGCGGCCAGGTTTTAACGACCATAGGCTACAGGCTACGTGAGAAATCAACCGTGAACATTTCTGTTTTAAGAGCTGACTGATTGCCTACGCAGCTACTAGCATGTTTGCGGAGAGTGATTGAGCGCATGCTGTACTGCAAAGTTTTGGCGTCATGAAAACATGAAATCCATGGTTCAAACGCTGCACGTGTGACTGTGCATATGTGACACATGTACAGTTTGTGCCGCCGGTTGGTGTTCTAAATCTGTCCTGCTGGCTTAGTTGACCTTTCAATTGTTGCACAGATAAAGGGCGAAAATGTAAAGATTCTCCGTGGCCCCACTGTTTGTGTGCTCGAATTGGTCCCTGTGTGGAACTACTCTCCACGCAAAAGCACATTCAGCATAGTTCAACCGGCTGTTGCTTGGACCCGCCCGCTATACACCAGGTTGCCTCCACATCAGAAAACCAAGTTTCCTCAATCATACGTATCAGGATGTTGGAGATCGAGGAGGCAGGCTGGTGCTGAGGGAATATTTTGCGGGATGAATGGTTTTGACTCCTGGTTTCTACCTTCAACTTGATCTCAATGCGAAGTCATGGCAGCTCTCTCAAAACCAAATTCTTACATGCAATCAAATGAAAAAGACTTGCAGTAATTATACTCGTGACATCTCGCGGCATTTGCACGCAAAGACACGACACACATGATGCTCTACAGGGAGGGGAACTTTCCCCGCACTGTTTCAAGTTGGGTTCCATGTGATATGATATGGACACAGGTTGTCTCGCTGTTGGGATGTCCACAGCCATGTTTGCCCAGTTCGCCTTCGAAACTCCGGCATGCCTGCTTTCCTGCCTTGTACGGCTTTTGCTTGTTGTGTCCTGGCGTGTTGAAGATCAGCTGTGATAGGCACATGCTGTATAAAGCCCTACGTTAGCAACCGAACTGGAGATACACCTAACTCAAGGCCTCGATAAGATCCCTTGATCCAGACTGACCGGAATGACAAGGTTTGTACATAGTGAGCAGCGGCGGTGAAGTTGACATGATACGACCTCAGGCGATCGCCGCATCATCGACGAAAACTTTTGGATTGATATCCTTCAGGAGCTGTTCATGTCGCTGGATTAGACACATTTAGAAACTTAGGAACACATTGAACAATGCCATTTGAGATGAACACATTCAACAATGCCATTTGAGATCACCTAAGATCACCTAAGCCCTCAATCAGCATGACTCATCGCGGCACTTATGGTGCAGGCAACCAGTGAAGTGTTGGGGGTCTGTAAATAGAGGCGTTTTTGTCACATGAAGCCTTGGCCCCTTGGAGAAATCTGGCAGATGGAGCTGCGTAAGTAAGCACTGTACCTGACCCAAGGTTCAGCCATGTTGAGGTATGTTGAGTGTTGAGGGGTGCTGGCATGTGCAGATACAGCTGCCACCCCTCCTGGTCCTTTATCAGTGCAGACGCTTCAGCCTGCCAGACGGAAGGAGATCGAGTCAGACCCGCAGGAAAGCTACAATCTCCGCTGGAATGCCAGTTGCATGCAGGTCAGGGCTGCAACTTACGGGCCTGTTGAAGGGGAGGACTGGCTGGTCTCGAATGGGCGGCCAGCCTTGTATTGGCATCGTTTTGGGCATGATGCCAGCCTGACATTGGATCATCAAGTGCTTGCTTAAAGATCTCACAGCCAGGCCTCCCCGACGCTTTGGCATTGACACCTGAAGGTAGCAGCTTGCCTGTAGGCTGTAGGCCTTCAATGAGTCACCCTTACAGCTACAGTTTGCATCACACTCAATGGGCATCAAACCAACCACATGCTTCATTGATGGGCTTGATTGGCCTCCCGTCGGTTCCAAGCGGACGGAGTGGCAGGAGAGGCAAGGGTCCAGAGCAATGAAGAACCTCAACAATTTGGTGGCCTCCTCAGTTGCATTTCTCATCAAGAGCCTTTCTAAAAGATTCTACTGTAACATTCTTAAGACGCTCTATATAGTCCTTTGCTTGAACAGCGAGCCCAGCGAGCGGGTCTTTCACTCGAAGTGTTTGTCGGTCTTTGTTGAACGACAACACCAGAGGTGGAGCAGTGCAGCGGATTGCAGCGGTAATTTCTGGACGTCAAGGGGAAAAACAGTTGTACGTGAGCTTGTTTGAAAGGCCTCCACGTTCTTTAGTTTAATGGGGCTACTATATAATGAGCACTAATGGGCTACTACTATTCGTATTTAGTTGAAAACGGCTTCAAAAAGAACAAAGAGACAAGCTAGTAATTGCAGGGCACCGAGAGCAACAGCTCATAACTCATAACGGTTCCATCGTTCAGCGGGGGTCAGCTAGTCATTTGGCAATTGACCATCCTGGCGATGGCATCCTGAGCCGCCAGGTCAAGGATGTCCTGATCCGTTGGAGTCTTCAGCAGGCTCGCGAGTTGCTTTGGGTATTTGGGGTCCAGCTGGCCAAAAAAGATGCGTAGTAACTCGCCATCGCCGCTACCACCTTGCTCAACACCAAGCTTAAGTTTCCCACGTGAGAAGCCAGAAAGAGAACTCCGGTTGATTGCATTGGACAAAATTGAGTATGAACCTCCGAAGAGAGGTGCTGGGAGGAATTGGACGGTGAGGAGGATGCCCAGAGGGGCCACCCAAAAGGTTCTTACTTGGCATAAGGCAATGTAAGCAGTGCACGGCAGCGCATTGCCGTTTCACGGCCTAGGTGACATCTGCTGGCGTCGCCACAGCTGGGCCCTCCTGTTTTGAAGAGCTGCGAGCTGGGAAAGAAGAAACATCCAAAAGAAGTTTGTTATATTTTGCTATGACCTTTCTCATGTTGACTGCCTTGCCTTTGGTACTTTTGCCCTGCGCAACACCTTGGCCAAGAGATCCGTTTGGTCGTGTCAAGATTCTTCAGGTCAATCATGTTCGGTGACTACTTAACTTGGATCAATGCAACTTTTGCGGGAGGAAACCTTTTAGCTTTGTTTTCCCAGATAGCTGGACGCTACAGGGGGTCTTCTCAATGATTAGGTCAGGTGGCGTGGCTGATCGGCGTTTTGGTCCACCGCTACCGGTGCTGCCTCGTCTTCCCACTTGCCCACTGTGATCAGCGTTTTGTTTGCCGCTGCCCTGTCTCCTCACTTCTCTCCCCATTCATTTGTCTCCTTACATGTTTGCCCACCTACGTGCCCTGCTGTGATGGGCATTTTGTTTGCCGCTGCTGTACTTGTCCCCCCAGTTGTCTCCTCACTTGTCTCCCCACTTGTCAGCCTGCGTGATCTGCGTATTGTTTGCTGCTGCTGCCGCCTTGTCTCCCCAAGTGTCTTCACATTTCTCGAAGTTAGTTGCTATCTGGTGTCAATAATATATATGTGTCCACTGTGTGAGGGGAACGATCAGAGGCCAGACTCCAGACATCGCAGGGACCGCCCTCGCAGCTTTTGTAGTACAGTAATAAGATGTAATAAGGAGTTGTCAGCCACTCAAATTGCAGCTTATATAGGCATTGGCCTAGCTTGTGATAGGTGAATCCTAGAGACCCCAAAAAAGAACGTCGACATAACTTATTTATATAGGTGGATTGGATTGGATTGGCCGAGTTTCCTTGTGCAACCTTTAGCATTCAGGTCATTGAACCCGAGAGGGCACAGCAGACCAACTAAACGAACAGGTTGCTTGAGGATGGAAAATCGGACCATCCAACCAATCACAAGCTTCTACCACTTTCTGCGCGTAAAAGATGCAAAGCCTGAAATTTCCGTATGCTTCAGGCACGTCCAGCGACCCTGATATTTTTCCATCCGCTTGGTTCTCATTGCTCCTCCAGGTGCTCCCCTGTCTTGGAGTAGCCCTTTGAGCTTCCAAATTCCCCCCAGGTGGAGGTTCTAGATGTTTGCAGCGGACGTGGGGGCGACCAAATGAAGTTCCTGCAGGCCCGTTTTTCTGTATCGGGCGCGTTGCCGGACTACAGGTTCGTTTCTAGAGGACGACAAGACCAGCCGAAAAAGAAATAAAGGAAGAAAAAACACATGATAATTCTGGATTGTGTTTGTTTGCTCGGTTTGTTTGCTCCCTAAAAGAGGCACCTGATTTGATGGAGTTTGGAGGGTTTTTGCCGCACGGATCTTCCTGGTTCTTGATATTTTTTATGGTTCTTGCATACAATCTCGCAGTGTAATGGATCCGGCGCCTCACTGTTGGTCGTTTGCTACACCATTTGATGTGGATCGGTGAAGGAGCTCGGGCAGGGCACAGCTGGATTTAGCAACTGTCTCTAAATTGGCCCGCGGTGACCACGAGCACTCAATATAATTAAAGAGGTTTGAACTGCACAGCTCAAATTCAGGAGCTAAATGACGTGTTAAACGTGTGTGACATATGTGGAAATATTGTAATAATGAAAGTTGCTTTTGGGCAACTTGAAGCCGCCCATGCAGCATGCGGGTGGTGCCATACAAGACTAGATCTCCCCATAGCAAAGTCCGGAGGCTGCCTCCACTGTTGGGTCAAGGCAGGGCATCCAGGGTGGGTCGATGAATTAGGAGATGATGTCAGAGGTTCACATGTCAGCGTCCGCTGGAGATATATGGTGCACAAGCACTGCTGTTTCATAACCAGTAGTTTTGCGTTTTACCACCTAATTCCATGGATGTTGTCATTATGGGCCCACACACGCATGCCGGAAATGAAGATTCTCCATGGCCAGGTCCCAAAAAGTGAGTGTTAAACCAGTGATGAGGAATAGTATATGGAAAATACTTCCTATCCCGAGTTTTAGTTGTCCCTCACAAGCTGAGCATAGCCATTTCCACCGTCAGGCTTTGCTACAATGCTGTGGATATTGCAGAGGTGCAGCATGGCGTCGGCATGGAGTTTTCTGCAAGTACCCACAAGCTCCAACGGTCGAGCTTGGAAACGACAGCCGAAGTGGCAACACACACTGTGTAATCTCTCCCTGCTCCCTACATCTACACGCCTACATGCATATGTGTGCAACTGATAAATCAGGTGGTTTTTGCACAGTGCCCCCCAAACAAGAATCAAAGACATCTTCTCACGCAGCCCCCCAACACGTCTCGCAGGCGCAGATCCTTGAGGCGCAGAAGCGCCTCCGCGGCTCGGCGGAGGAAGCGTATCCATTTGAGACGTGGTAGAATGAGTTGCTTAAAGACATCGGTTTTTGCATGTGTTTGCATCATGGGTGAAGACATGCCAGGAATATGTGTTTGATATCATATATCATGACCTCAAACTTCTGTGGAATAGTATAAATTCAATTAACTATTCCAAAGCTGAACCAGGTGTTGGAATATTTAGAACTACTGACGTTACACAGTTACACCCTGCCAGAATATTAAAAGAATATTCCTGAGCATATCGACGGTGGGCATATCCTAAGGGTCCCGCCATATTCTTAGAGGACCGACTGGTTGCTTAAGGATTTTGAGCCCGACAGCTCAAATACGACATGACCAAATAGTGGCTGGTGACTGAGGACAGCGCCTGCCGCTAGAGTGGCTAGAGAGCTGCCGCTTCTTTATTGGCGGGGTGCCTGGCCGATTTAGGGGTGTTTGTGTCAATTGTAAGGCTGCTTAACCTATATATTTCGTGCCAAGATGTGGAGGTGTTTCGCACAAGTTTTGCAGTCATGTCATGCCTTCCTCCAATGTCCTCCAGCCCAACACGACCATCGGCCGTAAACAGTGATACTTGTTCCACCAGCCACCAGTTTTCCTCAGAAGGATTGGTTCAACCAAACAGCAGGTGACCACAATTGTTGCTTGATTGCAAGTTTATGTGATTTCATTGAACTTCGATGCGTGATGATGTGTAACTTTGTTTAACTATTCATACTCTTTTGGGGCACACCTTTGTACATTTTTTGGGGCATGCCACGGGCAACCAACTCGGGTATCTCGGAGCAGGAGATGTAACCTTGTTGGCACCAACCCTGCGGGTGCCTCAGCACATTGCTATTTGACCGAGAGAGCTGTGGAACAGCAAGCCTGGTTTGAGCGGATTGGGCGTGATCAACAGCAAAAAGGCTAAGGGGATTGGAAGAGGCATTCAACATCCACTGTTCCCGTTCCAGACACTTTTGAACTTGTGAAAACCGCTTGAGCAAATCCGAGGCCTGATGAACCCTTGCCGTGGCAGCACATCGTTTCGATTCAGTTTGCGCTGTAGCTTGTTTGCAATCAACATGACAGGTGCCTAACACAGGTGAGAAGCAATTGATGTGTTCTGGGCTGGGTCCCAGTGGGAGAAAGGCCAGAATTGAATCTTAGCCATCGTGGATGATGGCCACCAAAGAGTCCAAACAACGGAAGCATTTAGGAAACTTGCTGTGCTGGCGTTTGCCTTGTAAACACTTCCATGGGTGGATTGGTGAGGGTAAAGCTGGTGGCCAGTTATGTTGGCCTGTTCGATTCCTGCAGAAGACGGCAAATGCTCCTGAGGCATTATGCCTTCAAATCGAAAGCATCAGCAAGAAGTTTTCTGCACAATGCTACAGGCCATCAGCTTGGGTCGAGTTGAGCATGATATGAGCATGCGCATTCGCTCCGACATGCCCCGGTGTAGCATGTCTATGTTTTCCTTCCTTGGCTCCTAAATCGACAAAGCCTGGGGCCTAGACTATATACATCCCAACAAACCAGGAAAACGCATCATTGGCCATGATCCATGGAATGGTCACGGTATCCTCGTTGATTGTTGATTTATACTAAGTATATAATTAAAATAAAAAAAGATCCGCCGAAGGCCGCCTATGTGGCGGAGGGCTGTTGATCATCACAACTGCCGACATCCCAGCGGGTATTGGAGCAGAACTTGAAGGACTGGCTGTGCGGGGGATGGGTTCCTTCTTCGGGTTAGAATGCATATGATTGAATGGCATTTAGCCATTTGCGGCTGGATATGATGTTGACACGTTCCACTCAGAGTTGTGAATCAGCATGCCAGCATGCTGTGGTGTGCCATGCTTCGCTGAGGTAGACTCGTCCAAGATCGGAGAGTTTGCAAGGCAAGCAGCGGAGAAGCAGGAGAACATGGGACTTGACGGCAGGGTTTTGCAAAACTTTTGCAGTAAGGATGCCCACCAACTGGCAGGGCCTGCACGGCACGTTCCCCATTTTTGTGCCCCCTACATCTCCCAAAAGAAAAGTGGAGTGCTTAGTCAGCACGGAAGCCCGCACGGAAGCCAGTGCGTGGATGTTGCTCGGTGACCTGACGGCTTGCGCATGGGCGGAGCAGTGCGACGCTGTCTAACAAGACTAGGAATTCGTATTCAAGAATGAGCTGGCAAAGATCAGCTTCGATGAGGTTAGCCTACCCAGGTGCGACTTGGGTGTTGGGTTTCACTCGGCCAATTGATATCTTCTTGCCTGTTTCCTAGGACGTAATTAATCAGGTTAGCCGCTTAGCCGCGGATCCAAATAATGTCGAATTCATTCGAATTCACCAATCCAATTTGTGTGGCAGGTGTGGACCGTCAATGATCACACTGTTTTTTAAGTTTAAATACTTAGCCTGCAGGATTCTAAGGAGCGAAGAGTTGCAAAAGCCTACTCTCAAGAGCATGGAAGAAGGATCCCACCTTGTCCAACGTCAGCGGACCTGGCCAGGCTTGCTGCTGGCAAGCAAGAGTACTGGACTCAACCTGTAACAGATGTCCTGCCCCCGCCTATCTATCTCCCAACCTACAAGATGTTTGCCCAGAAAAGCCATAGCTGTAGCTTTGACTAGCTTTGTGTATTCTATTGTTTGTTTATATGCAGATTTGTACATATTTTGTTTGTACAGAAACATGGTTGCTGGGCCACCCGTGGCATGCCGGGTCACTGGAAGTCACGGTTTTACGGGCTGGGCGCGAAAGATTCCAAGGTTTGGCTTGGGCTATCGATTCGACCTCACAGGCAGCGGTAACACATTTGAGAACTCTTCATCCAGCCATTTTTTGCAGAACTGCCCGTTCGCGGTTAACTGTGCTATGGCAGATGCTCGCACACGCGCACTGTCCAACAATATCCACTAATAGATTAATAGTGCATATAATATGTGTATACTTATGTATATATGTGCGTGTACTGTAGGCATTATAATATAACGGGTATTCATGTTGGCCTGATGGTGGCTAAGTGCTGATGGTCAGGTGAGGGCATTGACTGCGAGGAATATGTCGTCCATGAGGCCGAGTCTGGGTAAAGTGAGCAAAATGCTGGAGTTGAAGGCGGTAACGCAGAAAAGGGATGTAAGTGCGGTGGTAACGCAGATTTGAGTGATACAAAAACCCTTTGGGACCAGTCACACTTTGGTATGGTATGGTGCTTGCAATGGCAGCCTCGAGTGACACACACTTTGTGAGATATGACCATCTTTGCCTAACAACTGGCGATCCGTGGCTGAAGTCAACGAAAAATCATTAAAACTCTATATTAGCACCAAACGTGTCTCGAATGAATGGAGAAAAACCGCAGATCTCACGAATCGACCAGGACGCAAACTCTGCGTCGTCTACGTCCGTCGTTCGCCAGTCTTTGCTGGGAGAGCTGCTGGAGGAGTCCCACATGGAACTGCAAGCCGGCACCTGAAGCGGCCAGTTCGGACATGCCATGGCCTATTTGTGGGGACTGGTAGGGAGATGCGTAGAGCAGATCCTAGAAATGATGGCTCCTGTTTTGCTTGGGGGAAAATTGTATGCGGACAAGAACTTGGTTTTGTGCGTTGAAAATCCTGGATGCAGGCATCTAATCTAATAGGCCACTATTATCAAGCCAACTGGTCTTTGCAGGACAAGGAGTGGCATGTGTTCCTTATCTCAGGGCCCTTGCAGCCTGCAAAAGCCATTTGTGTGATATCACGAAAGGTAGCTTGAGCTACCTGAGTTCTCCTTGGTTTAGCAAAAATGTATTACAATCAGGAGTTGGGATTGTGCATTGAGTTTGGTCCTGTAAGAGATGATTCTGTTCGTCACAGGGCCCCCCTGGATCAAATCCCCCCTGCGCCGGTTCACGCCGTCATGGACTTCTACCAGGGTTACTTGTGATTGCCTGCTACCTTTCGTTCACCCCCTCCTCGCTCAAGTCGCTTCTCGATCCTATGCATTTCTCATCTCTATGCAATACGTTAGGGTGAGCAGAATGGCCCCAAATGGGCATGTGACACACCTTTCCTGTCTCAGGCAGCCATTCCATTCGAGGATCTGGTGACCTTCTCAGAGGAAAATGATGGGTATTGACGGCATGGATGAGTAGACCTGGAAAAGCGAAGATGTTTTAGTGCATCAGTGGACAGGTTTCAAGAACAAAATATGCATAATTACATATACATGTGTGTGTGTGTTGCAGCTTCCTCTACCCATCCTCGAATATGTTTGTTTCAGCGCAAAGACCATGCTGGCAGTGATTCCCATAAACATCAGAGATGCTTTGTGGGTGCCATTCACTTGAGAACACATTTATGACTAGGAGAAGTCGGGCTTGGCCTCAGACATTGCTGCATCCTTGCTTTCAAGGTGCGGCTTGTGTGGATGGACGGGGGTGCTATTTTCCGAGGGGCTGATACGTAGGCCATGCTTTGTATACACAAGCAGAATGAACAGAGTTTGAGAAGTATCTCTGCCAATGAAGTGACGGAATGACTGCTTGATACCGCTTGCATTTGTGATAAGATAATCTATATCATCATATGTTGTTGAAATTGTCCAAGACGCCCATGAAATGCCCTTTTGTTGGGAGGTTTGTTGTTTGATGTCCGATTTGTATTCCGTTCTTGGCCAGGCTACCTGGTGATTTCCAGGCCAGGGCTTTTGGAATCACACGGGAGGAAAGTGTTTGACAATAATGTTCACCAACATCAAGATGCTCTGCCGAATATTGCGGTTCAGTCATCACTGGTCATATTTGGTCATCAGCAATTAAGTCGAAAGACCACAAACCACGCAACGTTGTCATACCACGCCCAAGGCCCATCCTTGTGAGATTTGATGGTGTTCCTTCAGAAAACGCTCCAATGTCATGTCTCAAAGACTCTAAGGCGATGGCGGCGATGGGTGACTTTGGGGTTTATGACCGCCTTGGCCTGAAGGTGTCAAGGCCGATTGGGGGCCAAGTCGCACTAAGGCTTCACGTTGCTCCACGCTGCTATCAGGTCGAAAAAGGGGTCGGACAAATCGATCGAATGGCACGAACCGAAACCCCGTTTTGTCAGCTCTTTGTTACATCCAGAGAAGAGCGGGCAAGGCTGGCAAGGAAGGTGCTGTGTCCTCGCTTGAGGAACGCATATCCAAGCATCGCAATGAGAAGATGACAAAGTAACCATTACAAAACTGGCGCCGCAGTTGAAAGCAGGATCAATGCATGATTTGCCTGTCACCCTGAAATTCTAGCAGTTTCCAGGGCAATTGTGTTCAACACTGAACTAGGGAATCATTCAAGGAGACAGACGGGAAAGGAACAACTGTTTGATTCCATAGGAGTCTATGACACTATTGCCTTGAGCCTTAAGTTGATCAGGTTGTTGCGCTGTCTTGATTCATTTTAGTCCTCGAACACCAGGGAAGAAGCCTGCATCTCGTCCCTCTACAAGCAGGCAGCCTCAGCAAATGGTGGCGAATGCTCCCGACTGGATGTATTTTCCGATAGGAATAGAATAGAGGCGGTGTGTTAGGCTGACAGAGGTTTTGAAATCATTCAACCATGAGAGAGCTCTTGTGCAGAAACGCTCATGCGCCTAACCACCACGAAACCATAAGAAACAAAAGAGCCTAGTCGGACATGGTCCAAAAAGTGGGGTGCCGCCGTGAAACAACATCGGCTCTCAGTGAACCAATATGTGTTTCAAGTTGTTCTTTGGCATTGCCATGTGGGTATCAGTTCTCGGCGGGTGCAGATTCAGTGTTGGCCGCTGATGGTTGGGCTGGATTTGAATAGCAGTTTCGTTGGCACCATCAGACAGCAAGAGCTCGCTGCATGTTGCAGGCAGATACCACGTTGGATCATCCACTTTAAGCACTGTTTGATCACACTCTTCAACTGAAGATCCTAAGTGCACAGACAGCATAGCCAAGTAGATGGGATCCGGTTGGCAGTAACTGGGGGTCGATGTTGGTGACGCTGGTTCAAATCACCTCAACCAAGGCATTCTTGAAAGGGTTGTTTTGCGAGACACCACAACTCCGGTGGGATTCTTCTGGGGGGGTCCATGTGGCGTGCATGTGCGCTGGTGCTTCTGGCCGGGGCAAACTCCGTGGAGTACTTTGTTACAGACCGCCCGGCTGCCCAGGGGAGGTGGTTCTAGGGACTACTATATAGCGTAAGTCACCAAGGACTTTCCTTCGCATTTTGTGCAATTTTGCCGTGAAGGTGGGTTATGCCCTCAGAACCCTGGAGCTAGGATGTTTGGCCATTGCTTTGCGGTAGGACGCTATACAGGCCACTCTCTCTCTCTCTCTATATATATATGTATATATACACATACACAGAACCCCGCAGCAGCCACATTGGGAACCTTGGAGCGATGCCATCACAACAGAGAGCGAAAGAGTTTGTCCTTCATTGGCTACCCCGATAAAGATCAAAGATAGGAGGTTGTTGAGGAAGTCCAACCAGTCAATCATGTTGTTGAGGTTGTTGATTGATTTCACTTTGATGTCAATCCTGTTGATGTCATGCACAGGCAGGATGTGGTCTCTTTGAAAGGGAACGCTGAATACTGGTCACACTAAAGGCAGAAACAAGCACTACAGGCTCACTGATTTCCGAATTGAAACTCAAAGCAGCCAAATAGACCGCTGGGTGCACGCCAGGTCGCGTTTATTATGAGGGTGCCCCAGTGATTCCGGGCACCTATAACAACGTGACAGCCTCTTCATGCCAAGTTCCTTGACAAAAAGAGCCAAGTTCTTTGACTCTTGGAGCAATTTCCAGGATGAGACATGAAAACCTCCAGAGTGTGTGCTTGTTACAATTCCATTCTGTCGGGTAGTTAGGCAGCGCGCCAAAGGGCGTTAAGACCACCCCAAGCGCCAGCAGGAATTGCTCGGAAGCACCCAAGTGTGCATGTCCACTTTTCTAGAGCGCATGATTGGGCCATGCGGCCCATGTCATGTTCTGAGGCCTTTTGCAACCTCAACGCAAATTGTAGTTCCTTCTCTTTTTGCGGAAACTCTTGCTACTTAAAGCAGGCCAGCGGGCGCCAGTCTTGGGATATCTTGGGATGCCTGGGATCAGAAGCTATAGCGTGTAGACGTGTAGACGTGTAGACGTGAGACACGACTCATCTCACACTGTGAGTGAGCAGACAGAGATGAAAGGCATGCATCGTGGACGGGGAGCCTTTGGCCCCAAGCTCAGTCGGTGTCCACACAGCTAGCAACATGTCTTACTGTCTTACCCTTACCCAAGATGTCTGACTTGGGATCTGTTGGGTCCGTTGAAGGCATAACTCTACTCTTTCTTGCTCTGCCAACAGAAATGCCCTTCAACCTCAACACTTTGTTGCGCTGTGTCCCAAGGTGAATGCTACGACCTGGACGGATGGCTGCGTCACCTACTGGAAGCAATGTCGTCAGCTGGAGGGTTACCAGGTCACTGAAAGGCTGGTGAAGGAACAGGCCCGTGACGAAATGATTTGGAAGCCATCGTCAGTGAAGGAACCAGCCAAAAAAATGATCCCTGTACAAAATTGCAACTAATTGTAAGGCTGCAAGTCTTGGAGAGTGCTTTATGGTCCGCAGTAGTTAATCATAATTTATCATATGTCATGTGTTCAATCTGGGAACCTCTTGAGTTGTGTTTGATGGCACAGAATGAGGGTGCGCATCCTGTGAATCCTGTTGTTTGGCGCATGAGGGGGCGAATTCGTCGGCAAGGCCCCATCACAACTTTGGGGGAATCTGTTTGCTGATGGGTTGCTTCTCCGACGCACTGAGGGTCCCACCGTTTGATTTTGAGACTTTGTTGGCGACCGCTTCAGTTCCTGACAGGGCATGGAGATCGAGAATGTCATCACTGACAGCTTGGGCATTTGTGCAGATGCTTGCAATAGCAATCCCGATTGCAAGTCCTCCTCCTTCTATGCCCAGTCCAGAGGTTGCCACTTGAAGGTGCGCAAGATCGGCCGCCTGCGAGCGATGATTCTCGAAGTGTCTAGACTCGAAGGTCTAAGATAGGAGAACTGTGTGCAAGCCTGGGAGAAAAATACATAAAAGTAACATCCAAAGAACGGATGTTTTAATTACATGTGTTGGAAGGTGCAAATGCGGATGATGAGCCTACTGCAGCCATCACCACCTGCTAGGCGAAGTGTGTGGAACCCACCGATGCTCTCATACCGCCGGATGACCCGGCAAACGCGGCCTGGAGATTCGAACCGTTTGTTGATCGATACCACACAGGATACATGTTCTCAATGGAGTACAAAAACGTAGAAAAACTATGAAAAACTAAGTTGTTTAATGGCGAAGCGTCGATTCTTTGGGTCAGCCCTAAATCCAGCGGAGAGGTTTATCGGACCTTCTACCGCTGTTGTACATGCACTACGACCACGAGCACAACCACAAGCTCGCCCTGGCAGAGCTTAGCAAGAGCTTTGGCCTTTGAAGGCCCGCCGAATTGAGTGACTGGTGAGAAGTCCCCGTCCCCCACTCGACAATAGACTGCGGGCCGCGTTGGTTCACCAAAAAGCATTCCAATCCCTGGAAGATTTTGCAGATGGGTATTTCAAAGTATATCGGTTTGGAAAATCCATTGAAAGCTGAGTGAAAGCTTGCTTTGTCATGCTTTGTCCACAATTGGCACGGTCCTGTCTAGGCAGACTTGCATGTAGCCTCTTTTAAAAAGTGCTCCTTGATGCTCATGAGGGCCTGGCACGGCAAGAGACATTCGCTTTATTGACCTTTTCTCCAAGTCTGGGACCCCACCCGACACGAAAAGTTCGTCAAATGTTGCTTGAACCCTTTGACGGTCAGCCATATTGTAAGTCTTATAATATCTTATAATTATATGTTATATATTATCTATTATATATTATATATGTATACTTTTTGGGGGGGTATGTCTCGATAAGTGGTGTCTCCAACCTAGAGCCTTTTGGGCACACCTTTTGAGTCTGCATCGATGGATCGCTTCGATGTTTCGGGGAGGTGCAGGGGCTGAGCCTGGGACCTACGAAGGATCCTACTCGGCTTCGTGGCCGCCGGATTTGGAGAAAGGCTGAGAAAGGTCTTATATACAAGTTCAACGACAATGCTTAAGCAAATTCAATATTTAGTTTAAAGCAATGTTAAAGGATGGCCTAGTAGCTAGGCCCAACAGCAACCAGGCCCTAGCTCATGGACGGACCTCATCGGTGTGCAGCCAAGCAGATTGCTTGACGTAGCCCTAACATGCCCTAACACTAGCAAGGTATAGATGTTTCTCTCCTCCAAAAAACTCCTCCGACATGTTTCAACAAGGCTCAGAGTGGTTCATGAAGGGCTCACGATTCTCACTGATCCTCATTTACATATTCCCATCTCCATGGCTTTCTTGCACTCCTCTCCTGGTCCAGTGCAGTCCGTTCGGACCCAAACTCAAGGGAAGGAACCTCACTGTGCGATCCTCTTGTTGTGAGGCATCGCAAAAGAGCAACAAGAACAAAAACACCGAAGGTGAACACCGGGTTCCAACATGCTGCGTTTTAGGTTCCCTTTGTCGTCTTCGTATCGATCCACAACTGCTATATGGAAGAACAGCCAAAGCGGCATTCCGCTGCACCACCATGAACTCTTGCTTGATCAATCGTTTCAATTGGGTCTTTCACAGGGCAAGTACAGCAAGGTTAAGTGGGTGGTTTCATCATGTGTTGTTTTTGCCACTCATTCTGATTCAATGTTTCGTTTCTGATTCAATGTTTCGTGATGCTTCATGCTAAGTGGCAGGTGCTTCTCATCCATTTGAGTCAGAGACTAACCAGGGGGTGAGAGTTCAGCTTTGGTCAGACTGAGGTGAGCGATTGTCAAATGTTTTGCAATGCTCATCCTGATTGCAATTCCTTCACGCTTTGTGGGTCATCCTGCTATTTGAAGACCCTTTGCGTTACCACTGAACTAGCACTGGTGTCCGCAGATGGTTGGAATGGCTGCGTGACACACTTTAGACCTTGTCCGAAGCTTAGTTGATGAGATGTTGACGAGCTAGATTGAAGTTTGCAAGTCCAGGAGATGGGTGACAATTTGGACCGTAGATGGGCAGAGAAGTCCTGTTGCTTCGCGACCAATTCAACGTTCCGTGGATCACTGTTTTGGAGCCCAAAAAAGAGTCTGAAGAAAATCATCCTGCATGTTTTCACGACAGAATGGGGATGAATGGGGCGGGTTGACCACTGGAATAAGGCATTTTTAAATCGAAACACTTGTCCTGCATTTCCAGGTTCGGCATTTTAAAGAGGGAAAATTGGAGCGCACCCAGAATTTGCAATCTTGCGATTCTCTAGAAAAATGTGGTCATGCCCGTTTTTTGCGGTTTTGAAATCGCCGGTTGGCATCTTGTAGAAACTGTGCATTTTGTAGAGAAAGTTGTGCAGGAGGATCTGGCAGGGGGATGCAGGATTGTTGTGGTGTTTATAAATACAGTATATGAGTAAAAATATATACAAGGTATGCGCACAAGACCTTCAAAATGACACACTCGAATAGTGTATATAAACTTGCCAAGAATGGTTTGTTATATAGCTAGTGCTGAAGTTGCCATTTTGTAGTGCTGGTTCTGCTAGTTTGCCCAGTAGTGGTTGTATGTGACTTTTCTGTGTCTCCCTTTGCAAAATCTCGAAGTGCAGAACACCCTCCCTTCTAAAGAATGCAAATTTGCCACCTGTAGACATCTCGGATTTCAACACAAGACCATATGCTGAGATTGAAAGCTCTGGAAAACCGTTTGAAGCCGACCGACCCGTGTTTCTCCCCAACCCCCCTGAATGTTCCTCAAGAATGGTTTGTCAGTGCTGAAGTTGCCATGTTTCAGTGCTGGTTCTGCTGCTGGTATGTGACGTTTCTGGTGTATCCTTTTCCAAAATCTTGGTGGTTTCATTGTGCTGAGTTTTAGCTGGTTGTACAACATGCCACACTCTACAAAATGGGTCGTCATGTTTTTATATGCCAATTTGCATTCTACCCGACTTGCAAAACTGGTGGTACCCCCTACAGAATGTATCATGAACTGTTTCTGTTTGTTTAATCATTGTCTCCCTTCTTCTCTATCTATCCCCTTCCAGAACTGTCAAATTTTTGTAGTCACCAAATGCCATTGTGCGTGGCACCTTGTAGAGACTCGGTTTTTACCAGTGTGTGATTCTGTGGGCCTTTTGGGGAACCATTTTGCGTGTTATAACTACAGAATGCTTAGCACCACCTATCCTGGCTGACTCAAAAAGGATCAAAAAAGTATTGATTATTATAATAGTACTATTGTGGGACGTGTGCTGAAGTCCCACGAATGAAGAGCCATAAATATGTCTAAACAATCGTAATGAACAGATTGTTGATATGCTGGCTGCTGGTATTGATGGTGTTCCGTATGCGTTCTCTTTTTGTCTCATGTCACGCAGCTCAGGCGAAGTGACAACCACTGAAGTGACCACAACTGAAGTGACAACCACTTCGACAAACACCTCTGTCACGACAATGGAAACCAGCACCACGCCGGGGATTACGACCATACCCAGCAACCAGAGCGAGGGAAGTGTGACAACCACGCCCTCGACAGAACCCACAGATGATGGTGGCTATCTGGTGGAGACTTAGCTCAATTTTAGATGACTGAGCTGTCCTCACTTTCTCGTCAAGCCTCGGTTTGAGAATCTCGTTCCTTTTTCCACAGAAGCTTCATGTTTCTTTTGGGGTTTTGTTTGCTTTCAGCCCTTATCATCGGTGTCAAAGTGGATATTGATTTGCCTATGCCCCAAAGATCCATGGATGTGGATGTTTGGGGTGTCCCATTCCGTGGCTGCAAAGTTATTTGCAAACTCACCCTATGTAGTAGATCCTTGGGGTGATTTTGTAGTTTGTGCGGCCGGTCTTTTGCCAGAACTCGGCGAGAGCTATGAGTGTGGCATGCGTGGCTTTGGTGATCCTTTCGGGCTGACGCGCCTTTTGCGAAAACGCGACCACGCACTGAGCAGGCAGACTCGTGAGATCAGAGGTTTGATGGGTGTGACAATGGGTTATTAATGATTATTATGTTCAATGATTGTGGCTATGGATGCCATGGGCAGATATGGGTTCACAAGGCACTTTCCTGGAGACCTCTCCCACATATGCCCAGATGATCCTAAAGCATTCTTTAGGAAGCTGGTGCACTTACTTACGTACAAGTGTCTTACGTTTGTCTTGGTTGATGTGACACTGTGAGTGCATACAGAGATGACTTTACAATAATTGACGAATTCCAGCTGCTCGAGCGTTTCAATGGCTTGGTCAGAGACTTCCGTCGTGGAAGATGTGAATGGTTGACCTGCTAAGGGCTGTCACCATGGTTTGAGGGGCAGGTGTTGACATGTGCTGACTCACATCCATACACCAAAATGCATCTATGCCCAACACATCCAAAAGAACCCATTGAGGATACATTTAGTCATCATTTGGTAGTATTGAGTCTTGTAGTAGTCAGCTGTTTGGAAGTGTTGTGGGCCATCAAATTCGGGCACCGGCCACCAAAATGGTAGCTGGTTGGCTTTGGGATGCCGCAAGCCACCCCAAAGAGACAACGACGCCGAAGGCGCGTGCAGAAAAAGACACCATTTTGCAAGCAAAACCACCATAGCCAGCTGCATATGTGCAGCACAGGCGTTATGTGGCGCGACGCATCCGAAGTAGAGAATGCGTGTATGCATGCGTTCGTTCGGCATGCGTGTTTCAAGAATAGATGATATAGATACCTACTACATACATATTCTCCAGTTGTGCATCCATATGCGCCTTTCTTCCTTCAGCCATTGCTTTGTGGTCCTGATGTGCAAACCCCGATAGATGGAGGGTGTTGCTTCTAGTGGGCAAAAGAAACATCAGAACAATCATCACACTATAAACCCAAGGTTTGAGTATGTGTACAAGAAGGCCAAAGCATTGAACTATATATAGAGGACAGGAGAGCTATTGGTCTTTGGAGAATGTCTCATGAGCCCCTGTGTCTCTGAATCTAAGGTGTTACGTTGCTCGTCGGAGGGAGGCGCGGAAAGCTGCCAACAAATCGCAAGAAACAAGGTTTGAAGGCACCAGGCAAAGTACCGGAAGCTTGGGCAAATGTGAAAGAGCATGCACCGGCACTCAATCACAGACAGATTGCACCGGCACTAGGCGATGGTAAATCTATTTGATAGCACTGACTGATCCGTTGTGCAATGGAATCCTCCAGCCAGTCTAGCGCAAGCATTCGGTTCAACATGGTTATATCGTTGGCCGAGAAACAGTGAGTTGCTCCTGGGATTCTTGGCGGGGCCTTGAGGCTCCGAAGGTGCCCGACCTTCCAGATGCGAATCATGTGGGGGACCTTGTACTTGTAGCATTAGAAAAGGGAAATGTCGCTTTTGGAACCAAGGAAGATTGATGTAGGTGGAGGTACACATGATGGCAGCCCATGGTTTCATCCAAGCACATGCATGGATGAGCTCCCACCAAGGTTGTTTCGCAGATTTCTGAGGCCCGGCCATGTCCTTTTTTGAAGAGATTCAGAGGTCATAAAGGCTTTTGCCGGGGGCACGAGAGTAAACAGGACCTGGAGGTTCTGGGGTCCAGCATGTTGACTTTCAGTTGTCCAGGAAATTTGGGCAACTCATGGCCTGTGGGAATAGGGGCAAGTTGCGGATGCCCTATATAAAGACGAAGGAGCAGTCACCAGCCAAGAAAAGAAACGTTGGACCGTCTTGTCAAGCAAAGGCGCATGAAGAGCGGTACAGAGCGGTGATTGTTTTATTGGAGCGTCTTGTCTCATTCCCCACAATGTGACATGGGCATGTAAAGGATTTTTTGCATTTTATAACTTGTATACACATAAATAAACCTTTTCAAATGGCCTTTCAAAAAGGGGAAGGGGTGCCTACAAATGTAATACAGTATTATATTTGTATATAGGTCCCCCCTCTCCTAAAGGTGGTGATAGTAAAACTGAAGCATCCATGTTGAACTCAATGAGCTTAACTGCGCAGCCCTTGACTGCACGGACTGAATCCTTCTGACCTCGTCTGCCTCATTCCACGGCGCCAGGCCGGTGATTTTCTCAAAGGACAGCCACCGGTGAGACTGCGAGAGCCAGGGGGGAACTGACAGAGCTGGGAAGGTGTTAGAGATGCGGTTGGTGCCAAGAATCCCCAAGTCCATCACACTGATGCGGATTGCCAGACACAAGCGTGGCCTACCAATCTAGGACGGAAAAAATGATTGTTCCCAGAGCTTGCCGGTCTCGCCGGCATCGCTTCGGGTCTCCAAGTGGGACGCTGAGATAAAAAGGTCTGCTCGTTGCAGTGTTCTTTTGTTTCACTGTCGGCTTATGCCCGTAAAACTGAGATTAGCAACAAACACACATCATTTATATACGTGATGAGTGGATTCGAAGAAATGCTGGAACTGCACAGGTGGCCTGAATTGCTTCAGAATGCGGGCCTTTTGCTGAGGCTATTGAAAGAAAATTGATGGTCCATTGAAGGTCCACCCGCAGCTTGTGCTTCAAGCACCCCATGCAGCGACTCCTGTAGCCTCATTTTCAGACATGTCGACGCCTGCAGAGAAGGCAGCAGATGCGAAGCTCAAAGCAGCTTCGGTGGAGGAGCAGGGATGATAGAGATTGCCTGAGAAGAAATTACAGTAACACCATTTAACAAACTAGATACAATTAGGACCTAATTAGGATATCTACCGAATCTACAGTAGGCGTTGCAACTCTGAAGCCACGCATCTACATTGTTTTCATGCACCTGGCATGTGAAGACTATTGAACATTGCTAGCTCAGACCGTGGGCAGACGCCCATGTCCCAAGAGTGAAGGACTCAGTCCTCGACACCCTGTCCATCTACACGATTCGGTTGCTTGCAGCTGATATGGTTGACAAGGCCAGCAGGGGCAATGCAGACATCAAACACCAAGTGCAGAAGGGGATAAACAATGTGTGTGTGTGCACCAATGGTTGCCCCCGTCGCCCCGAGCCATTAGAATGGCCACAAATCCTGCAAAAAAGACATGCTCAGGAGGAGACTGTTCATTTCTTTTGACTTGGCAGGCGTCGTCAGGGCACTTGGGAACACCGTTCGGTTGTGCTCCACTGGCCAATGCTTTGCAGCTGGGCAGGTCTGTTAGTTTTGTTTGTTGAAAGGTGGGCAAGAAGAATCTCCTCGAAGGAATTTTGGCAAATAGCTTGACCAAATTATATGTTGGATCATGTTAGTTAATTACTGCATTTGAAGGCATGCGGCATCAAACATCATGAAACCTGAAGAGCTTAATTTCAGGGCTGCTTCACTTGACAATTCTCAGGGAGCAGGCCAGTTACTCAGATCTGGCAGGAGGACAGCAGCTGGCCGTCCAGATCTGCAAAACAAGAGCCCTCCATTATGATTGCCCCTGAATACGTAGCAAAGATGTCCACTGTCTTCGATCAGTTTCTACGGGGGGGAGCCCTCTTTGGTAAATGCGTTGACAGGAGAGTCAGCCTGTGGGTCCTGTCGCCTAGGTGGGGCAAGATCATGCGCTTTTCACCCTTTCAGAGGCTGGTGCCGTGTGTGGACGAGTGTAGCAACGAGCGCGATGCCACGAACTGGGTCATCCGGAAGCGGTTCGGATCAAGCCGAAGGGCTTTGGATCCCGGTGGTTTGAATCGCAAAAATCCCTTGTCGACCCCCCAAAAAGGAAGATCGAATGATCGAATCGCAGGTGGCTGAACCGCGACCGTTTTGTGCCTTGGCGTGATGCTCGTGGAGCGCAATACGTGCATTGTAACCATGGAAGATAACATGACTAGTGAATAGTGCTTGTGTCACCGTTCACGGATCATTCTCAGACGATTGTTTGGTGTGATTTGTATGTGTCCTATGTGTACGTGAGCATTTGCATGTTGAATCGAAGTCATGCAAGCACATTTGCCGTGCACATGGAATGTCATGGACCTTGGTTTGGCTGCTGAAACGCCTTGGGCCCGGCCCCCCGAACAAAACTACATATATGATATATGCCCAGGCAAGAGGCGGCCCCAAACAGTGTTCAGTTGAACAAAAGCTATGTGCACATGTGTGCACAACATACTGCAGCAGCTTTTTTTTGCATGCACATAGCGGGGCTGGGGCTGCAGGTGTCATAGCTTTGCGGTTCATATGAGCGTACATGAGACCACACATATGAAAGCAAACCAAGGCACAGGGCGGACCTCCGAAGCATCCAAGCGACCTGAGGTGCTCTCCGCAGGCCATGCCAGCGCCCTCCTCTACGTGATGCTGCACTTGACTGGCAATGGACTTGGAGGTCCTTACGAATCCTGTTCTCAAGGGGTGTTCAGGTGTCACACCAAGGTGGGCTGGGCGTTTGGAGCTCAAGATGCTGCTTCTTTGGGCTTTAGTTTTGTTCATCGATGATCTTGATGTATGGATCTTGGATCATACTATCACGCTGCTGCATTCTTGCAAACTAAGGTAGGCTTTGTAAACCGAACCTTCATCATTCGTCCTGACATTCGACATTGGGAGGTCACCCGATGCATGCCCACTCAGGAGGTGTCCATGGAGCGTCTACAGCAGTTTCGGCAAGCAGGCAGCCGCCAATCACAATGGGGTGGGGCAGTCCTAAGGCTCTAAAAAGCAACGAAGTAAGAAAAAGACCATCAGAGAGTCAATACTACGTAGACTCCAGGCATACAAGACCGGTTTGTACCAAGTCGTTCAGTTTCTTCGCATGAAAAGACTGCCTCCAGCTGCCAGCTGTGTGTCACTTGTTGAATTTCCATGAATTTCCTGGGATTGATTGTTGTCGTGGTTCAATGTTGTAAATTGAGCAAGTGGGCAAGATTCTTTGGTTGAAAAGGAGTTTGATTGAACATGTTGCTGAAGGCTGCGGCCACGCAACATGTGACAATGTAACCATGCGATGCCACTACGCTTTCTCTCTTTGAGAATGAACATGAAGCCAAGAATCTCCGATTCGCAGGCAGCAGCACCCCTGGACACCCGGAGTTCCGAATGACCAGCGGGGTGGAAGTCACGACTGGGCCCTTGGGGCAGGGCTTTGCCAATGCTGTAGGCTGGACATGGCGCTGAGACGGAGGAGAGAGAACAGCGGTTTTTTTGTGAACATCCCCCCCTGACACGCACATGTTCCAGACTCCAGACATACAGAACTGTGATGAACCGTGTTTATAGATGTCTATAGCTTTTTATAACATAGTCATGTTTTTGCTTGGGTGACCAGAACATTTACAGAGAGGGAGGGAGGGAGGGAGAGAGAACAAACAGAGAATGATCAAACAAGAATGTTTTCACTTTTTCGATCTTTTTCGGGTCATCCCCTTTTCCTGGTCCAGCGATTCGTTCGAGGCATGGCCATCGCTGAAGCCCATTTGGCTGCTCGATTCAACAAGGATGGCTTTCCTCTTTTTGACAACTACACCTATGTCCTTGCGGGCGATGGCTGCCTTATGGCTGCTTGGCGAATGCTTCGTACATGCGAGTCGATGAGCGTGGGTTGGCCCTCGTGGGTGGGAGGAGATGGCCATTTGCATGAGTTGAACAGAGCAAGACTGATTGCGTATTCGTTTCTGATCATGCACGTTCAGTTCATTTCAAAGGGTGTTGGGAGCGAGGGGCAGGTCGTTGGGGGCCAAACCAAGTGTGCTCAGGAAGGCGTATGCTCAGAGGCTGCCTCCTTGGCTGGACATTTGAAGTTGCACAAGCTCATCGTTTTCTATGATGAGACTTGACTGCTAGCTGCTAGCTATGAATCATAATGAACCGAACTACTTACTATGCAGTGCTCTCCGATGTGTCCATGTGGCCAAGGACAACAAGGTCACCATCGATGGAGGAACGAACCTGGCCTTCAGCGAAGACACGGCACAAATCTTCGCTGCCAAGGCGAACGTCCAGAGCTGCACACTATGCTTCACTGGCTTCACGCCTTTCACTTGCTTCATACACGTTGAGGTCCAAATTATTCTTCGAGCAATCTGGATTCTGTTTGACAGCTGTACTTTGCAGATCCAACTTCGGGCGACTGTAGAGTTTCTTTGGGACATATTTCCAGGCCAACCACCAACCTATACTGCAGACTTCCTATGACTATACTAATTCTCTTGTAGCACAGGAGTTGAGTGAAGTGAAGAGTTGAAAGTTGAGAGCATTGGCCAGAAGAGGCCAAAATGAAACCCTGGTCTAACTCAAACTCTGAGCCAGTTGCGGCTGCCTATTCTACTGGTCTACTTGCGTTTCGAACCTTCGGCGTGCCACTGCCACACGATGGACGGTTCGAAAGGTGAGCTGACCGGTGTAGACAAATGTAGACAGATGTGAGGGTCGTAGGATCATGAGCATGTATGATCCATGTATGTAATTAGACAATGTAGACGAATGAATGCTTTTTGTTATTTGGTGGCGTGCTCAAGTATTGCTTACTGAATGTGAGAAATTTGTGCCACATGCGCCAGGGCTGGAACGTGCTCCATATCCCCAATGGGGACTCCCACGACCCTGCAGTTTATGAGAAAGCTGTGAACGAGGCAAGGGCACGGAGAGGGAAAGACTGGCAGCCTTTGAAGACGCACACTTCGCCTGAACGCGCTTGCACGGCCCTTGTTGTCAGAACAACCCCTTGGGCGGCGGTCACTGCAGGTACACAGAGCAACTTTGCATCATAGTCATTGGTCATAGTCATAGTGTTAGCTTGCATACCGAAACTGGAAGTGTGCTCCGCCTGCGGCGACATCACGTTCTTGGGTTGGTCACAGCAAAAAGGGCTCAACCGATGCCAAACTAACTTTGGAGCCAGAATCTACTGTAGATGAGGTCATTCAAGTATGGTGAGGTTGATTGGGCGCGGGGGTTCAGGGTGTCGTGTCTGTGAGGCCAAGGCGCAAACAGAAAAGCCCAGCATCATCATCATGCGCACCACCATTGGCTGTGGGAGCGGCCCTGCAATAGAAGGCCGAGAGAGGTTTCGGTCTTTGGACTGCCCTTGGCTTGCACAGCTGGTGTTGCCCCAATAAGGCATGCCAGGCGGCAATCACGTTGTGTGTTCCCAGTGTGTGCGACTCGTTCTTTCCATCCATTGCATACTCACATGTTGATTCACGCCATTTATATAGTTGAGAATTTATGATCGGAACACCACCGAGAAGGGGCTGTTGAAAGGGACTGGGCCTTCATTCCACCTGAAAGCAACGAGCAAAGGGGAGGGCAGGAAGGGAATGGGAAAAGGGAAAGGGAAGGAAAGGGGAGAAAGGATGGGAAAGAGCGGAAAGGAAGAGGAGAAGAGGTAACAGATAAATTTATCAAGGAGGCATAGAATTATGTGGAAAACAGAAGCAAGGGAAAGACAAAGAAAAGCAAAGCCCCCTACAACGTTTGGGGCGCCTCGTTGAGCCAGCAAGAGAGCTAAGCCAGCACAGAGAGAGAAAGAGAGAGGAGAGAGAGAGAGAGAGACACAGTCAGACAGCAATAAAGAAAGCAAGCAAGCAAGCAAGAAAGACAGAAAGAAAAAAAGAGATGGCAATGCCTTTGGGGCGCACGTTCCGAGCAACTGCTACTGCCCAAGGGTTGTGCAAATTTGTAGAAAGTTGTACATGGACAGCTTAACAATGTTTTTGTTGAGCGTTTGAATGCAGGCAAGGCCAAAGCACACGGAGGCAAATTCTCCAACATCGAGGTGAGCTTGACATACGCGGGCATTTTGGACCCATTTGCATTTGTGTCCATGTGTACAGGTTTGGCCTGGAACAAACGCAAGGCATTTGGGATTGGGCCCTGCTCCATGGGGGTTCAATCTGGAAAGTGAACAGACAGATGGATGTTGTTACTTGGGGTCTCACAGATTCTTCGCAGCGGGGTGCCCAAGACCAAACACTCTCGTCCGGCAAAAGCTTACCTCAAATGTAGGCGGGGATCTATGGTTAAAGTGTGGCTTTGAGGGCTTATCATTGGCCAGTTCATGCTTGCCCTATCAGGAGATCCGCTCGCGCTACTTCTCCCCTGAAGGCCTGAGAAAGAGCTTCTTGGTTTAATCAGGTTTCCGGGAAGACTGGTGAGTTGAAGGTGAAATGATGTGGAGAGTCTTGAACTTTTCCGGGTTGTCATTTGTGTCGAGTGAGTGAGTATCATATACTTCAATGCAACATTTGCAGATTCGGATTTTTATTTGGCCTCCACCGACAGCGCGCCATGCATGCGGGTGACCGTTGGCTCCACAGCGGAGAATTGCGAAGCCTGGCTGATTGAGTTGGAGGTGCCAGAAAAGACCACCGTCGCTTCTTTGAAGAAAATCCTCCGGAAGCCACCCCACTGCCTTGAGGTCTCCGCCAGCACCAAGGTGTTGTTTCGTAACAATGGAGTTCTCACGACGCTCTTTGACAAAGAGCTGGTGCATAGCCATGTCACTTTGCTAAATGTGCGAGACGACAAGGTCTTTACCTTTCCTGAAAATTTCCTGTGGGGAGCTGCGACTGCGGCGTATCAGATCGAAGGTGCAGCAGCAAAGGAGGGGCGAAGTCCCAGCATTTGGGATGCCTTCTGCGCAGTGCCTGGCAAGATCCAGAATGGGGACTCCGGAGCCACTGCCTGTGAGCACTACTACAGATATTCCGACGATGTGCAGCTCATGAAGGACCTGGGCCTACGAGCCTATCGTTTCTCCATTTCATGGTCCAGGCTGTTACCGCAGGGTCGAGGGAGGCTAAATCCTAGAGCCTTTGACTTCTACAGCTCTTTGCTCTCAGAGCTGTGCACCTCAGGGATCACTCCCATAGTGACCTTGTACCATTGGGATTTGCCACAATGCTTGGAGGAAGAGTATGGAGGATGGCTCTCCGCCAAAATCATCCCGGACTTTGAGGCCTTTGCTTCAACTTGTTTCCAGTGTTTTGGAACTTTTGTGAAGCATTGGATCACCTTGAATGAGCCCTGGTGTTGCTGCGCTCTGGGCTACGGCAGCGGGGAGCATGCACCAGGTAAGTCCTCCAATGCTGGCCAGGAGCCATACTTGGCGGCACATCACATGCTTTTGGCTCATGGAAGGGCTGTGAAGTGTTATCGAGATCAATATCAGGCGGAGCAAGGAGGCCTCATAGGCCTTACTCTGAATATGGACTGGAAAGAACCCATGAGCGCCTCCGAGGCCGACCGACAAGCACAAGCTCGTGCCTTGGACTGGCAGCTGGGCTGGTTCGCCGATCCGGTCTACAAAGGTGATTACCCGGAGGCGATGCGAGCGAGGTGCAGGGATCGCCTGCCCAGTTTTTCCAAAGAGGAGCAAGCCCTGCTTTTGGGCTCCTCAGACTTCTTCGGTTTGAATCACTACTCCACCGACTTCGTGTCGGGCGAGGAGAAAGGAAGTGAAACGACCGAGAATTATTTTGCGGACCAGGGTGTGAAAAACACATCCGATCCCAGGTGGCTTCGAACAGATATGGGCTGGGATGTAGTCCCATGGGGCTTTGAGAGGCTCCTCAACTGGATTCAGAAGGTCTACTCTCCCAAGGGTGGGATTCTGGTTACTGAGAACGGCTGCGCCGTTCGAGAGACCACTGAACAGGATGCCATCAACGACTCCTTTCGGATTGAATATTTGCAAGGATACCTGTCGCAGATGCACAAGGCCATGGCTAATGGAGTGGATGTCAAGGGTTATCTTGTTTGGTCTTTCATGGACAACTTTGAGTGGGCTTTTGGATATGCCAAGCGTTTCGGCATTGTGCGGGTAGACTTCGAGAGTCAGCAGCGCACGGTGAAGGACTCAGGCAGATTGTTCCGGACCTTATGCAAGGAGAACAAGCTGAAGGTTCCCTCCCGTGTCCTCGCCTCTGCCGAGTTTGTGCCATTCAATGGACGAGTGGAAGAGACCACCCCGAGTGGGAGCAGGGCGGGATACGCTGGGCGGCCACAAATGCCACAGCTGTCCAAAGATGATGCCCAGAGAATGCTGGAAGACTTCTGCAACAAATATGAGAACGAGAAGTTTCAGAACCAAATGGTGCATGTTTACCAACAATTTATGATTCATAATGATGAGATGCGTCTCTTGAAAGAAAGGCGGCGCTTGTGCTTTCCCATCCAGATGGAGATCCTCCCCAAGTACGGCTTTGAGCCCACCAGTCGTGGCGTCAGCCAAGTGCAAGCCGCTTTGACCGCTCCCAGGCTCACGGAGGATCCCCGCATCGAACAGCTGAACCACTATGTGGTCTACCTCACCGGTGAGATGCCCAGGGAGAAAGCCGCCGAAGGGGCAACCGTTTAGAGTGGAAAAGGGAGCGGCCACCGGGCGACAGAAAAGAGTTAAGAGTGCTAAGACAGAAGTGGGATGGCTGCGTTCATTTGTATTCCGAACATTCCACACGTCTAAAAGGCTTCATGCATCCATGCAGGAGTCACTTGGGGGAATCCCGGACCAGCTGGGCGAAATCACCAGTCTCCGTCTCCCACCGTGGAGCAAAATCGAAGGCTCCAATCCGATGGACCAACGGATCGCAGAGCTGGTGGATGAGGAGCTGAGCTCTTTGAACGGGAGCGCTGGACCTGTCTTTTGGCGTCAAGGGAGAGAGGAAATGGAACTCGCATGAACTCGGTGATAGCCACGAAGACTAACACTATCTAGATCTATCTAGCACTGCGGATGCTTTGCTAATTTGCCAAATGGGGCGGAACCGGTTGTAATTCAGGCTGGTGATCGCACCAAACCGCCCCAGCTCACCCGACCACTAAAGCAAGGTGCCCTGCAGCCAAACAGACGCCACCGGCATGTCCATCCATGTCCTGTTTCAGAGACCTCGTGCACGGTGAGTTCAAGGTTTATGACAGACTCCTTACTGCTGCATGCTCAGGTCCTGCCAAAGTTCTATGTTCCCAAAGCGGCAGCTTGGCCCGAGGCGATCACGAAGAAATCCGCTCAAAAAACCCTACCGCTCGAGCTGAGGTTCTGAAGAAGTTTCGTAGCCGTGGAGACTATGGAGACGAGTTGGCCTGTGAGCCTTTCCGAAATTGATGACTCTACTACTTGTATAGCACCAATTAGTAGGAAAAGCGAGAGAGAGAGAGAGAAAGAAAGAAACAAACAAAGAAAGAAAGGGGGGAGTCTTTTGACATTTGCCTCAGTGGCATGCTCCTGTGATCTCCTGGCTCCTGACATCGCCAAGATCGGTCCGCTCCAGTTGGTGGGTGCGATGCGTGGTGCGATATCTAAAAGAATGAAAAGATATGAACCGAGTTGAAAAGACATCAAGAAAATCAAGATGGCCAGGTGCTGTTTCAGGAGGTTATAGTTGTCGTGGTTTCGGAAGGTTTAGGTGACATTTTCACTTGAGCATGGTTTGTCGGTAACTCGGGACACAGCAAGTAAGGGCAAGTCTTCCATTGAACGGTCTGTTTTGCTCCCTCCCCTATGTGACAAAGTACCAAACAGCAATTTCTGTTTGGTCACTGCCATTCGATTGTCAACGTTACAAGTTACAAGTATGGTGCTGAACTTTGCCCCATTTCGTGTTGCTGTCCGAGGAGTGGAATCGTATGGTGGGAAAATATTGCAGAACATTCAGGGAAAGTGATCCTGAATTGGTTCAAGACTTGGAGGAGAGTCGGGTTGTGATCCTGAAACTGTGAAGCCAAAAGCACGCCAGGGCTGCTCAGGATGGACCTGGAACATCCTTGAGCGCATTTGGAGGCATTCACCCTGACCTTCACCCAAAAAATAGATTCAGAAGATGTATTGAATTTTAGATCACTATTCAAGCCATGACGCAAGCCGCTTGCGCATTTGAGATCATTTATGTAGGTACTGTGTTTGAATGTTTTTGAACGGTGTGCTGTAGCGAGCTCTAGGATCGTATGCGCGGGAAATATCTGTCAGATGACTGGAAAGCTGTGCTGGACGAGTACTTGCGCAAGGACAGCAGTGAAGCCAATGATGTTTTTCTTCAATTCAGACATGCATTTTGTGTGACCGCATCAAGCTGCACGGGGCAACGCTGCCGTGAAAATGAGCAATTGACTGATTGAGGAAACAAAGACCTTAGATTCAAAGTTGGGCACTTTGCTGAACATGGCACTTTTGCCGGCATTATTTGTTGGTGCATGTCGGTGCTGTGCTATGGCACCTGTGCCATAATGCCATGTCCGGGTTTGCATGATGTTTGGGTCTTTGGCTTGGCTGAGAAGACGATGAACATCATGCAACATAATAAGGATTCACGTTCAGTAAAATCATTGTGTATGTCCGTCGCAGAGTGCTATTACTACCCCTCCCCCGAAAGAACAGCTCACAAGGGCTTTCGGAAGGCAATTATTTGCACTGGCCACTTGTGCAAGAGGCAGTTGCAGCCATAAGTTTGCAGATTTGTTCTGCTTGAGCTAAGGCAGAGACAAAGGAAGAAGAGCCAAGACCCCCCTTCAAGCGTTCCTCAGCCTTCAAGCAGAGAGGATGACAGAGGTGATTCATGAGCGTGACACCCAACTAAGCTGGCATGAGAGTGAGGTGATTCATGTTGGCGAATCATGAAGACGAAAACCTCCAACTTGCTACAGCCTTGGCATCTCATTCAGGCCTGAAGTCTGATGGCGTCATCGGCTTCAAGAACAAAGCTGGGAGAGTTTACGCGAGTGAGGTTCTGAAGTGTATGGCCAGAACCTCAGGGTTTGGCTGGGTGCTTTAATCGAACCAATGTGTTCGGCATCACTGAGGCTCAGCGTTTATCAATCGGTTTGTTTAATGTATTGCTGCATGCGGACCGTTTCCATGGTGGCTTGCGACATAAAACCTCCCCCGATGTGCATCACAAAGGTTGAACACAACGCGGCCATCATCGGTGGTGCTGCTGATGTGTCCGGACAGGTCATTAATTATTCACTAACCACACTTACCCAGTTTTGGGCGATGAGCACTGTCACCATGAGCAAGCTGCGAGATGACCATCAATCAAGTCTAGTCAAGTTATAATTGTGTAGCGGTTTTGGAAGGTTTGGAGATGTGGCCAAAGTTTTCCCGTGCGCATTGTACGTGTGTAATTAAGTGAATCACTATAAACTTATGGAATCCCAGGTGGCGTCTTCTTGTGGTAGCCACTTTCCAGAACTTCAAGGACATTTCCTTCCGCCATCCCGTGGACAAGGACTAGATGGCGCAAGTGTCTTGCCAACATTGACTGCCCCACCGTTCATTTGTCAAGCTGTATGGGCCACATACCCAAGCTAAGGCTATGCTGGAAGGTACATTCACTTTGGTGTCAGAGAGCACGCGATGCTCGCGATTTTGACACCTGGCGAAATGGGTAGAGTAGCTTCACCAGCGGCAGATCATGGCGGATCCACAGATTTGACACTCAAGTGTCAGACTTTTGTTTGGTCCGGTGCTCATGAAGACAACTAATGTGTTCAATGTCATTTGCTTCCAAAGCTGGGCGGCTTGTGTCCACACCAGAACGAATAAACACCAGGAATGGAATTTGCTCCTATTCGCTCATGATTCCATACGGCGTCACCTTCACGGTGTTCTTCCAGTATGGCTTGCCTGCGATTCGTATGGCTGCCATCTCTAAGTACCTTGGCCCGTCCTTTTCTGTCGCGAAAAACTGTAAGCATGTCAAGTTCTGGCTCATCAAGCTGACGTGGAGAGGTGTCGTGTTGATTGCACAAAGCACCATTGACTATGCCAACTGCAACGCAAGGTCACCCAAATACAAAATATATCTATTCCAGTGAGCAAACAGCGGAAAAGCGCACATGAACGAAAAGCGAACCTTTTCCTTTCTAGTGGCGGCTCGATCAGAAAGGCAGCTGACATTCAGCAACCTCGAACTTGGTGTTCGTGAACAAATGACGTTCATGAACTGCTTCCTCAAACACTCCCCCTTTGGCCTTTCGGTAGGAAGTGCCAACATTCATTCTTTTCTTCCAAAATCGGCCTTGATGGCCTGTGTTCAGCTCAAACTGCCTTTTCATCCTTCTTGCGTTCTGCATCTCGAGCACGGTGTGAACCGTAGGAGATCCACGATCCCGAGGTTGGCACAGCTTCGGCTCGAGTGCACTGAAGCACCCCATGAGCTGCACCACAAGGTCACATTGGTTGGTGTTCCTCGATTGGCCTTGCAAAGGCCACACCATGGAGACTGGCGAGCTTCACCAGTCCTCGGTGCCTTCAAGTAGTCACATTCTCTGGTTCGGTGGTGAACTTTCCCGAACCGCGTTGTGAGAACCACTTCTTCCTCTTCTTCTTCTTTTCCTTTCCTGCTTCGACTTCCTCCGGCCTGAGCTGCCGGTGGCATGGTGGTGGCTTCTTTTGAATCCCTTTCTTCTTTCTCCTTCTTTCTTCGCTTCTCTTCTTCCTCCTCTTTTTCCTTTAGCTGTCGCTTCTCATCTTCCTCTTCTTCCTCTTTCTTCCTTCGCTTCTCTTCTTCCTCTTCTTTCTCTTTTTGTGTCATCTGTTGGCTCAAGGATTCCATTGGAATCAGCTGTTGGGGAACATATGGCCTTCCCCAAATCAAAACTGGCGTGAGTGGAACCTGTTGGTCCCTCGGAGTGAGAGGCACTGAAGACGGAGTTGGATATGGAGACGGAGGCAATGGAGACTGAGTGGGAGATGGAAGATAGGTGGGCCGGACAACTTCTTCTTCACTTTCCTCATCATCCTTCTGCTTCTTGGCTGCTTTCATCTTCGTCCTTCGGTCTGGTGTTCTGGGAGGACTTCGCTGTTCACGACCAACATCACTTCGTGATTGGCGATTTCTTCCAGCTACTCCCTCCTTCAGATACCAGACCATGGAGGTCAGCATGACCACGATCAGGGTGTATAGAAACACCATCCAGCCAAGATGAACATCACTTTCTTCTTCACCATCAACTCCCCCTTGGCCTTCTGCTATCGAAATCGTAGCTGCCAGGGTGAGCAACCTGAGGACAGTGGCTGCTTTGTGCTTGTTTTGCAAGCCTTCTTCCTTCTCTTGACCTTCTTCCTTTTTCTCCTCGCTCCTCAACTTCTTTTCCACTTTCTTTCTCATCTTCAATCGACCTCACATTCATCCTCTTCTTCAAATCCTCCAAGCGCGAGGCAGCAAGGGCTTTGGTGCCAATGTCGGCGACCATGACATCACCTGGGAGATGATGGATTCCCCAGGATCCCTCTTGAATGGCTTGTCTTGCGTAGGATGCCCTCGTTCTTAGGTGTCTGGTTCTCCAGGATCCCCCCTCATTCACGAGGATTGCAAGGCCGCTTTGGCTATCGGTCCATGCAAGATGAGGCAAAGGACCTGTCAATTCTTCCAATATCACGCCCACGGACTCGCCTGCAATCATGCCCTCAATGACTTCGTTCAACTCGGCTTCTGCAGTGGAAAGGGACACAGTGCTTTGCTTTCCAGCTCTCCAAAACAAGGGACTTTTTCCTGCCATGACCACTGTGCAGCCGTGAGATTCATCTCCATATGGGGCAAAACTGGCGTCCGTATAGACGTTGATCATCACTTCATCTTCCTTTTCTTTGGCATAGCAAATGCCTTGATCTTGGGTGGCCTTCAAATAGGCCTTGGTCTGAATTCCAGCTTCTTGAACTGCCTTGGTGCTACTCAGAATGCTGGATGCCATACGAGACACACTGAACATGATGTCGGGTCTGGTTCTCGTGACGACCCATAGCATTTCGCCCACGATTTTCTGAGCCAGGCGAACATCATTCGGAGACGTAGTTCCAGTGTCCTTCGGCATCATAGCTTGATCCTTAGTGATCGGCACTTTTCGAGGCTTCATTTGTGGGTCTTCAGCGGCCAGGAGATCAGCCAAATACGACCTTTGCGAGAGGTGCCACACGTCGAGGCCTTCTTCAGACTTCTTTTTCTTGACTTCCATCCCCAAGAACTTCACGCCTTCTTCCGTGATCTCTTCAGGCGGAGATGTAGTCCAAGTTGACATGATCTTTTGAAGGATGGCTTTGGAGACTTCGGGGCTTCCAGCAATGAAGATGTCATCAACATATGTCATCAACAAACCTCGAAGCTGGTCAGATCCTCGAGGTAGTACTCGCCACAGATTCAGTTCTGATGCGAGTGGTTCGAGGATGAGGACCCCCTTCTCTTCTTCATTTTCTTTCATGGCGATCTCCAGATCGGCGAGGATGTGATCTCTGTGTTCCCCCCAAAGTCGAGGCGACCTCCTCAATCCATAGATGGCCCTCTCTGGGGTGTACATCACCCCTCTTTTCAGCAACCCTTTTTCCACCAGGATCGGCGGAGGTGCGACCAACAAAAGCTGGGTATCTTCTGTGGAGTTCATGGCTGCATTCAAGAAGGCGGTTTTGACGTCCACCACATAGCCACTCCATTGGTGCTGTGCAGAAAGCCAACATGCGACTCGAAATGCAGTTGCATCGGCTCCAGCTGAATAGGTTTCTTCTTCAGCTGTTCGTGACTCAAAGTTGCCACAAACCACCCATCTTACTTTCCTTTTTCCACCTCGGCGACCTGGCTTCTTGGTGTACACGAGCTTGGATGGGATCAATTCGATGGCTATCCCTTTTTTCTTCGCTTCTTCAATCTTCTTTTGTACTTCTCCTTCTTCTTGAGGCCGAAGTGCTCTTTTCTCTTGGATGAGGGAATCGATCTCATTGGTGGCTGGTTCAATCCATTTTTCCCATTCTGCCAAGACCTCCTTCTGCGAGACGATCTTCGTCTGGAGCACCTCTTCCTCTTCATCGTCCAGCTCTTCGGACATTTTCCTCAGCTTTTCAACGATTCTGATGGTTTCGACTGCCATTTGAGGGTGGTCACCATAGACACGCTTCATCTCTTCAGCAATCACCATCTTGAGCCTTCTTCTTTCTTCGGTCTTTCTTTCTTCATCCTCCTTTCTTCCTTCAATGCGTTTGACACAGGTTTTCTCCCTCAGCCTTCTTCTTAGGGAGAGGCCGTCCAGGAGTTCCTTTTCAAGGGCGATCCAATGCCCCTCTTCCGGAGCCGATGACACTTTTCTCACCACGCTCCTTGTGAGCCTTGGAGCTTCCCCTTCCTTCACAATCCAGTGTCCGTGGTTCTGAGGAGATGGTGCCAAATACCTGACTGATTCCATGGTAGGTGAAAAATCACCCAGCTTCCATCGACGTCGGCGAACCAGGACCTCTTGCATGAAGGGCGGAAAGGAAGGTTTTTGGTAAGTGCGCTTGCACCTGAGCACCTCGTCGCAGTGCTTGAGCGCCCGTTTCGCCAGCTTGGTACAATGCCTTGCGAACCATATTCTTCACGGCTTTCACTGCGGCCTCTGCACGGCCGTTGGACTGGGGTTCGTCCCCTGCCGTTTTGGTGACGATGATCCCCCTTCTGCGTGTCCAGTCCAAAAATTGGCCTGAAAATTCCCGACCTTGATCGGTGTGTATCTTGTTGACGGTGTAGCCGTCGATCTTCAACCTCAAGATCATTTCCATTGTGGTTCTTGTGACTTCTTTCGCCTTCTTTGTGTGCATGGGTTCAGCCAGCCTGAAGACTTCAATGTCATAGTCCTGAGGCTCTTCTGCTGCTTCTTCTTCTTCATGGTATAGATCGACTTCTCGACCTTCCCTTTCTTCAGCATCGGAGAGGCCACCTGAGACATACTTTGGATCTTCTTCTTCATTGGGTTCTTCCTTCTGACTCTCATCGTGGTCCTCCACTTGTTGGCCCTCTTCTTCTTCATCTTGTTGATCTTCTGGATGGCCTTGATCCTCGTCTTCACCTGGTTCAATGGCCACAAGTTCAGACTCCTCGTCCAACTGTTGATCTTCAGGAGGGTCTTCGATTTTTCTCCCCTTCGGCACTGCCCATGTGAAGGTTCCAACGAGGAAGTAGCGGGCCATGTGTCCGCCTTGATTGTACGCAGGAATCAACGGTCCTGCAGTGTCCAAGGAAAGCACTCCAGCTAAGGGCTTCTTGACCTTACGATGAGGCGAACTTTGTTGGTTCTGCTGACACACCAAGCAATCTCTTCGTGCTGGAGTGTGTCCAAACAGGATATGTTCTTCCCAGGACATAGCTTTCAACTGCGGGCTTCGACCAAAGGCATGGAGGAGCAAGGACCTCGACAACATGTGCATGATGCCCGGCGCCCATCGTGCCAACTCCCAAGAACCTTTGACTGTCGAACTCTTTTCCCCTTTCATGTAGTGTTCTTCAGGATTGAGCTTCATGTTTCCTGCAAACGTTGTTGGCTTTGCAGTCTGACCTCCAAGTGGCTTCTGGTGGAAGGTAGTTTCATTCCACTGGAATTCCTTCTGAAGCATCTTCCATTCTTCGGTGTCCCAAAAAGACACCACTTCCGGCATGTAGGCCTTCGGGGATGCTGGTTGTTCCAAAGCAAATGCTGGTTCTTTTGACATTCCCCTGGCCCTCCTCATGTAGGCGGAAACCATTTGAAGAAAGACCATGCGCCACAACAAAATGTCGTCTTCTTGAATCTTTCTTTTTTCTTCTTCAGTAGCTTCTTTGATGCCATTTTCTTCACCTCCCCAACGACGAATGGGTCTTGGTGGCGTCTCCCCCTCAACAGGGTAGTGTCTCAGAACTGAACGAGTTCTGCAATTGGGGCCTCCGACCAGGCCAAGCAAGCGATCTTCAAGAACTGCTCTCATCAGACCTCCATAGGGCCCATCCGGAGTCAGCATGTTGTGTTCTTTTCCTCTCTTCAGGTCGATCTCGAGGAGCTCAGCATCTTTTCCTCCTGCTTGACTCCATGCACGACCAAGTGTAAATCCATCAGCTTCACCTGCATAAAGGTGGCACACGAAGCCATTTCTCTTCATGCTTCTCCTCATTCTTCTATTGGCAGGCAGCGAAGACCAGGGTGCAGGAGAGACGACCAAACTATCCTTGACATAGTCCGGAAGCCTGGACAACACCGGATGTTGTTGCGCCAAGTCTCGCATCCATTTGAGCTCTGCCTCAAAGTCATCGTCTTCTTCATAGTTCATTCCCAACTTCACTTTCTCAAGTTCATCAATCAACTGCAGAGCCAGGCGACGTGGTAACTGAGGACACCCATGTCGATCTTCCACTGGCAGTTTCCCCCAGGTCGGATGTTCCACCTCCAAACGCCCTTTCGACCAGGATATGGAACAGTTGAGCTGGTCAGCAAGCAAGCCCATGGGTATGATCGGCTCAATGTCAAGGTCCTCAGAGATCATCGCTCCCCCTGGACTGATGGCCAGGGTGGCCGTGCTTCCATCTGCAAGGGAGACATGGACCTTCTTGTAGTGTTCTTGATCTTCCCCTTCTTTCAATGGACGAAGAGGATGAGTTGCACCACTGTCCAGCAGCCCTTCTTTTTCTCCCTTCTGCAATCTCTTCAACCTGAACGTTTTCATGCGCAACATGTTCAACTGTTGCTGTAGCTTTTCCATCACTTCTTTTCTTTCTTGCTCCTGAGGGACGGCTGAAACAGGTGAAGAAGCTTGCGATGATGATGGCGAGGAATGCATGCTCTTCAACATGTCGTTTGCCTCCTTGATCAACTCTTTGATGGATGGAGCTCCATCGTTTTGGTCCACTTCACCCTTTCCTCCTTCAACCTTCTCTTTCTCAGCCTTGGCGATCTTTGGCTTCGAGGAGAAGTCCCTCACCTCCTTGGGTCTTGTACATGCTGGAGCCATATGGTCTATTGAACCACAATTCCAGCACCTTCTTCTTTCGTCCTTGAGGTCGTGGGAGTAGCCACAACTTTTGCCACGTCGACAACCTGAGTCTGTCAGGTAGAACCGACACTTTCCTTTTTCTTTGTTGGGTTCTCTTTCTTCTACATCTTTTCGATCTCGTCCTTCCTTCTTTTCTTTGTTGACTTCCTCGAATCGCTTCAACTTTGTAGGATCAGGTAGTGCAGGGGGATCTTTCTTTCGACTCTGCAAATTGACCTGTTCCAGCTCAGCCATCACATGCTCGGCATACTGGGTGATCGAAGCATGATTTGGGACCGAGTCGATCATCAACGACGATCTTGCCAACTGGAGGCGGAAGTTCAAGTCCTGGTTGAGCGTCAGGATCTTCCGAAGCATGCGGCTTAGGCCTCTGGCAAGAATGGTGGGATCTGGTACACTGACCCCCAACTCTTCAGCACGTCTTTTCCATCGGATCCACTTTCGTAGGGTGGCAATGCACGAGCCAACACTTTGAGCTTCCGACGGGGCTTCAAGGGCACTCAGAATGGCCTGGCGTTCTGCTAGACCTCCAGGTTGATACAGCTCCATGCCTCGAACCAGGATGCCCAGTGTTGAGATGCTTTTGGATGCAACAACTTCTTCTCTCAAGGAATTTGGGATGGCGGTCAGGAGTAACCCTGATGCCCTTTTCTCAAGCCGCGACCACTTCTTCTGATTGAGGACTGACGATGGATGAACCTTGTGCCCCAATCTTTCTAGTGGAGTTTTGGCCATATGATCTTCATACCAAGAGCGAGCCACCCGGACAACTTCTTCCCACCAAGTTTCGCTTGTGGTGGACAGGTCGGCCATGATGGGCTGCAGCAACAACAGCCAGTCTGCATAGTCAATGGGCGACGACTCCGGGCTCCACTCTGGCAACTTTGGTAGTTCAACTGCGTTGCGAACCAGTTCAGCTTCTGCTCCGTCTTCATCTCGCTGCGAACGAAGCACTTTCTTCTGCAACTCTTGCATGCCTTCAACCAGCTTGAGGACGACCGTGAGCGTTTGGTGCTGAGTGTCCATAGATTCAACTGGTTCTTCTTTTTTCTTTTTCCTTGGAACAGTTCCTCCTTTTCCTGTTCTTTGTTCTTCTTCTCTTGTTTGTTCTGTCTTCAACTCTTCCTCTCCTCTTTCAGCTTCAGGAGGTCGGGTTGAATCACCTGCTTCAGCACTACCGTTTGGGGTGGCGAAAACAGCTTCATCTTCTTTTACCTCCTGCTGTGCTGTCAAGAGGCGTTGCAAGTGCACCTTGAGAAGTCGATTCTCCTCAAAGAGCTGAGAAATCTGTCTTTTCTGAACCTCATCACCTTCAAGCCTGGTCCTCGTCAGAGGATAGATACCAGTTGCTTGATCTCGGAGTCGTTGGTTCTCCTGAGACAGCAGGCGAATGCGACGATTCATTTCTTCCCTTTCATACCTTTCTGCAGCCTCCCACTCTTGTCTTTCTTCTTCCATCATCCTTTCTTGCCTTGCTTTTCTTGCCACTTCCTTCTTTTCTTCTTCATCAGCGAGGAAGCCAGGACGGTGCAAGGACGTTTGAGGAGTTTGGAACTGTGGATACAAGAGAGGAGCTTGGCTATACATTTCATGAAGGCCCTGTAGTTGTTCCCTGTCAAACAGAGGCTTCACTGCTTCCGGTGGTGTTGCAATCGAAAGGATCTCATGGGGACCATTTGGCAACACATCCACTTGAAATCCTTCTTCTTTACTTTCTTCTTCTTCTCCACCCTTTCCTACCTCAACCTCTTCTTCGGCCTTGTAGGGGGTGATAGAAGTCACATCTTCTCGACCCTTTGCTACCTTTTCTTTTGCGCTTGGGGTCGAACTCAAAGACATTGGCGGCCCCCTCACCTCTGGTGTTCTACCTGCAACAGAGTTGGTGACCTTCGAAGCACTAGTCACGGTGGTTGGTGCAGCTGCTGTGGAAGGAGTCCCTTGACTAGGATGGGATTCCGAAGCTTCCTTTTGCCCCTTTTTTCCTATCCTTTTTCCTTTCACTTCACTGCCTTGGTCGTCCTCCAAGGCCAACTCACCGCTTTCCCTCAGCTCTCGGTCCAGGCGTTCTTGCGCCCGCTTCATCTCTCGCTCGCCCTGTGCAAGCTCAGCTGCTGTCGCTCTTCGTCTTCTTTGGTTCAGCGACATCTATCGCAGTGGTCCAGGGTTGCTTGGGCTCATAACCTATTCCAGTGAGCAAACAGCGGAAAAGCGCACATGAACGAAAAGCGAACCTTTTCCTTTCTAGTGGCGGCTCGATCAGAAAGGCAGCTGACATTCAGCAACCTCGAACTTGGTGTTCGTGAACAAATGACGTTCATGAACTGCTTCCTCAAACAATATCAAAGTATATTATAGCAACAGAATCATTTGACATTTGCTATCCTTTGCTGCTTGACCATGGGCATTAATAAGGGCAGGGGACCCAGAGCCCTGATTTTTGTTGCTTCAAACTGCCAAATCACTGCTTTCCTGCCCACCTCAAAATTTCCAGGAGCTTGCTGAACTCATAGGTCGCGATTTCAAAGGATTTCATATGATTTGGAATGCATTGGGTGGAAGGAAATCCCCAAAACATAACATGTTCACACGAATGTCTTCCGTCATCGCCCCACAGGTTCCCAGTCTTCTACATCGGCACCCATGACTCCATCGACTTGGGCGAGGATGGGCCTACCCACCAACCAGTGCCTCAGTGCCTCAGGGCGAGGGAGGAAAGGGAACGTCAGGATGATGGTAGATCCATGTAGATCCGTGGGTTCTGTTGGGTTCTCTCCGCTTCGCAAGTTGGATGTTGTTGGCATTTGTTGGCCTCATTCCAGATGCACGGCAGAAATCTCAACATTCTGCGGGCAGAATGCGATCCAAAGACGAGCCATGTTTTTTCTAGAGGCCATCCAAGCATGCTTCAATTTACCCTATTCTACCAGCTTGATGCGTTGCAGGATCCTAGATATTGTTGGGCGACGGTTTTTCTATTTGTCTTTTGCCCGCCAACATTCTGACAAACATAGCCATGGAGTCATATTCAATCTGGAGTTGAGGTTGAGGTTTTGCCACAGCTACGAGCGATGCCAAACCTCGTGGTGATTCGTCCAGCAGATGTGAACCTCCGGCAAAATTCTGTTCAGACAGCGGGAGAAACGATCAAATTTTCAATAGAGTGAGAAGATTCCAGGGAGTTCTGCAGCTCTGGGACAACAAGGCATCTAATCGCCAACATGTTCAGAATGAAGGTGTCGGTATGTGTCGGTGATTATTTGATCATCATGTGCATACTTGTACAATCTTGTAGACATCCCGGCCTACTCCAAAGCAAGGTGTTTTGATTTGAAGCCGTCAGATGTTCGACAGGAGACTGTTGCAGTCGCCGCTTGGTGACTTGGTTGTAGGCAGATAGTGGAGCGCTTGATGGGCCACCCACTTGGACTCGCTTGTGCTTTTGACAGCATCATTTGGTCCCATGATCAGTGTTTGCTTCTAAGCGCATCCTTTGGATTCTCCTTTGGTCTGAGATATGGACATATAGAGTATATATATCGATGTATACAAGCTAGCTTGGTCAATCAGCCCACTCCAAGGCCGCTCAACAACTAACCTGAATTGTTTGAATTCACCCAATTACCAAAGCTCAGTCGAATCGGTGGAGTGTGGGCGTTCGCCAGGAATGAGACGGTTGGAGCCTTCGAAGTCATGGCAGAGCAGTATGCCAGCTTTCGGGAGCCCTGGCATTTGTGATGCAGTCACTGAAGCATTTGCAAGTCGGAGGCATCACCTTCTTCTTTGGGCCAATAGACATGCCATGGAAGACTTGTTTGAAAAATGATTATATACCATGAACATATCCGTGTCCCAAGTAGAGCGAATAGCCGGGGGAACATCTTGAGGCTCGCACCATTGTCATCGTTAATGCTCCTTGATCCCATTGGTAGGTTCATTGATCGTTTGCCATAATTTGTGTATGTCAATCCGGGGTTTGTGCAGCGCATTGTGGATAAACAAGCCTACGATTGTTCACATCAGGCGCCCAAAGCCTCAAGTTATCATTGTGGAATCGTCTATGTTGACATGAGTTTGGCCTCATGTGTGTTCCTGACTTAACCAGCAGATGCCATCGTCAGCAGGCTAGGCCTGGCTAGGCCCCCATGCTCTCTTCTATGTGCATCCTTTCGCCACCTTGAGATGTCATCAGACGTCCTTTTTGATGCTGTCCATGTTCGCTGCGGGTTTTTCTCCTTTGGAGCGGAGGACATCAGCCAATATGTGGATCCTAAGCCCTTATCTCGACGGCCCATCTTCTTGATGACATGTCGTGGTGAGCTGGGCCTCCCCTACAAGCCCAATGCGGGCATGTCGGGACGCGAGGGCGTGAAGCGAGGCGAGGAGAAGGTAGACACTTGGTCAGTCAGGCCCAAGCTTTGGGCCAGCCAGGTGTATTGCTTGTGGTGTCCTTTGGAAAATTTCCAGAGTTTGTTCAAAGACCCTTTAGGCAGGAGCCACAAGTTGGAAAAGTGAATCAGTAAATGAGAAAACCTGAAATATATTTGAGAACATGAATTTGAGAACACCTGTTGTTACCCTCCTCAGAGGCTGGAGTCCAGCTGGGTGGCAAAGAACTTCATCTCAGGTTCACTGAACTCCTTATTGCAAGATCGAACAAGGGGTTGTTGCCACTTTCCATTACTGTAGTAGTGGTGGTTTGAGCGGTTTGTTGTCGCTTCTTGTGCGCTCACTTTTCTATGCATCCCTCTGCTCGTGATGAATGCCTGCACGAAAGGGAGGCCACCTCTGCATTTGGGTATTTCTCGGTCCTAGTTAATATTTTGGACGGGCCTGCACAGACCACCAGCGACCACAAGTCCTACATATCAGCACACCCCTTCAATGCACACAGCATGTTGTTCTGGTCTTTCATGCGAAAGCTGGCTCAGTCGCACAAACTCCCACACCACGAGACACTGCAAGGGCGTTCGCTTGGTTCACTCTCCTTCAGGATCCAACACAAAGAGATCCATGTGCCATCATGTGCCCATGTTCCGATTCTTCGTTTGATCGTGTTGCAGGCGCCTACGTGGTCCATGACTGCTTCGACATCCCCACTGGCACCTCCCACGGGAGCCATACCCTGCCAACGGGCTCGAAGGTCCCTGTATCTTGGCAAAAACCGAAAAGATGCCCGAGCTAGCATGCTCTAGCTGGTGAATTCAGGTTTCGATGCTGGTTGGGAGGTGGTGGTGTCCGATGGTAAAGCCATGTAAAGATGTGTAAAGCCCAAAGGGAACGGGGACATTGAATCTGTGGTGATTCTACAGGATTCACGAGAAGACCCCAACTCTAGCACACATTGTAAGTGAGCAGATCATGTGCCGCCCCGCACCTTGCACAAAAGCAAGGACATCATCCTCATCGGTAGCGGGCAAGATGTTGGACTATGTATGCAGACGAAGGAATTGCTGCTCAAGTGGTCCAGTGCCTTCTACGAGCAACTTCACATCAGTCCCTGAGAGAGAAATCCATTTGGATCCGTTTGGCATTGCTCCGTCACAGTGGCCTTACGATGTTAGTTTTGGGGCCAGAGAGCCTCATTAGTGCAGTGTTCCAACAAGTTGCACTACAAACGCTTTAATCGGAACATGTTTGTTGGGAGTCGCCCTTTTTGGAATGTGTGATTCATTGACGTGTTTCTCCTGTCGCACCATGGGAGCCACACAAAAGGCGGACATGCACCCATGGGTGAGAGAGTTTGACATGATTAGCCGGCCCCCCAAATTAACATCACTTTCATGCTGAGGCTTTGATGGGCCTATCCCATTGCCGATTTCAGCGACTTTGCCAGCAAAAAGCAATACCGTGCGCGCGACACCCACCCCATGTTTGTTTGTACGTGCAACCGAGAGCACGTCTCCATCAGCAACTCGGAACCACAGGTTGGCCCCAGGATGGGGCTGCTCGAAACGTAATATTCCAAGCTTGCCCAGTGCAGTTCGTTTTGGAGCTTCAGTATGCTCAAAGACTGCTCTAGTATTTTGTTCCTCTAGGGCAGTAGATGGCAGTAGTCAGCTGATGTGAAGTAGAGATGCTGGTCTTCCTAGTTCCTGCTGGCAGCTTGCAGATCAAGAATGCGGGAAGTAGGGGTTGGTGCTGTTGCCATGCGGCTACAGATCCCAATTGCAATTGTGTGCCCTTACCGCACACAATTTGATATGTAAAGAAGTATTTAGAGTCTAAATAATGTCAACCGATATGTTTGCGGGTTGCTTGCGAGATGGGTCTAGGCAGTTCAATTTCAAAGGGGTTGCAGAGATTAGTACCACAGCCTGTATTGTATCTCTCTTCCGGTGACCTTTGCTTCAATGAGCTCTACATTTAGTGTGCCATGCCTGTAGGACGCATGCGGGCACAAACCAAAGGAAACAACACTAGGTTTTGGACAGACCAGGTTTCTCATGGATTCTTGACATGCTTCTGTGACGGAAGCACCAAGATTTGGCACAAAGCTGAGGTGAATCAGCCGTGCTTAAAGATACGAATCGTCTCCATGCCCTGCTGGGAGCTGTTTGATGAACAAGATCAAGAGTACCAGGAGAGGGGCTGCGGTACTGAAACAATTTCATGCGCTTGTTCACACTCAATGGGTCGCACCATCATACCGCAATACTGCAACTTGATTTATTCACCCACAAACATGAGCCGCAGAAATGCTCCGCACAGCCCCAGTGGCCCGCAGGGGCACAGGCAGGAAATGGCACAAAGGTCAGGCAGCTTTGAGGAATGTTCAGAACAGAAACTTCCAAAGAAGATGCATGTTAGATCATTTTAGTATAGCATTGGCTTGAGGGAAACGGTCGCCGGCTTCGTGCCGGCAGGAGTCTGTCCTGCTGTCCAATTATACAGACGTGCTTTCCATCTATGTGGAGAAAGCTGCTACGAAGAACACCGGGCACGACAAGTATGCGCAATACAGCGTCTTGATGCCTTCCTTTGGACTCTCTGGAAAAGGTGCTGATGTCGAGCGAAAGCTCGAATTTACTGCAGAGACTTGGTTGAATTTAGTGCCAGGCACGGTTAAAATGCTGTTTCTAAAGTCCATGCTAAGTCTCCTTTGGAGAGGCCTTAGCCCCAACACATGCAAGATCAGGTAGGTTAGCCAATTGCAAAATCCGTTTGCATTCATTTGCTTTTGTCTTGGGCATGTTCTGTTCGGCTAGACATTTCCAAGTATAGCTGCTATGCCGCTGAAGCTGAGGATTTTGTGGCCTCAAAGGTCTGGGCCGCATGGCTTGAACGTGGCCGACATGTACCGCAGCAAGCTGATACTGGAGACCGCGGCTTTAGCACTTGGGTGTCCCGCATGCATCGGCGCGCTGGAGGCAACTGAAGCCGTTGCGCGGACATTGAAGTCGAAGAAGATGAGAGCAGCCAAGACTGGATACTAAAATGCATCAATTCCAGGGATCAGCCTTGCCATGAATTGCCATGTTTTGCAATCTTCTCAGATATTTTGTTTGGCGCCCTTGACTGCTCCACGAGCTACTGACTTTTGACATGGAGGGCTTCTTGGATCACGGTACCTTTTGCGAAGGATATCTTTTGGCTCTGTTGATGTCTCCATTGCTTTGAGCACAATCGAAGGAGCCCTCCTGTAGCAAAAAGCCATTCTTGTGAGATTGTACACACGCCTGTTTGGGCAAGGAGCCAGGCCCAAACTCATATACATATATATTCATGCACAGGAAACGACCATGCTTCAATAATATGTCCAAATATGTCCAAATGAAATCATCTCAAAGGTTCCAAAGCCTGATGAATTCTCCGGAATTCCCGCAGAAATAGCGTGGGAAGTATTAATGATAAATAGACCCAAAATACATTCGAAAAAATATTATCATACAGAATTGAATCAACAATAGATTGTAAATGTATTTATAGAATGATGCGAATATTTAATATAAATATAGTTAAATACACACGATAATTATGTTATGTTAAATAAATATTAGATGAGTATATAATCTATTTAAGAATATATGGTTGTCGGTTTAAAGATAGGATTGTTGATGATAGTGATTTAGAATATATTAATATCTCATTTGACGAATGTTTTTTTCTCGAATTGACGAAAATATTTTGTTAACGAACGATATGGTTAAAGATGTTTTTCTTGGTGTTATTATTATTATTAATATTATTATTGTTTTTTGTTATTTTTTTATTGTTATTATATAGTTTATTCTTTTTGTCGTATATATTGGTTTTTATCTTTTTGTAATTTTTGTTTATTTTTATTCTTCTTATTATGGTAGTTATTGATATTATTATATTATTTTATATATTTTATTATTTTATTATTATTATTATTTCTATTAATATTACGATTAATAATGTTAATATTATTTTTGTTTTGTTTTGGGGGAATGATTTTGTTATAAAATTCTATTTTGCAAAAGGCAAAAATTTAATTTATTATATTTGATTTTTAGCTTCGAATTTATAAAAAATAAATCTGAATGATGGGTTATTATAAATATTTTTGCAATTTTGATTTTTGTTGATATTTAGAAAATATATATAGGGTATTAATAATTAATTAGAATATATATATTGATAAATAATGAAATTTATATTTTTATATTTATTAGTAAAGAAAAAATTATAAATATAAATAAAATTGATATTTATTAAATTGTTTATTTTTCTTCCGGTTAATGTATTATTGATTTCTATTGGGCAACGCTACGAAAGCGGATGCATCGAGTGCATTAGAAGCCCCGGAAGTCGGCGCAGTTTGAGTACGACGAGATTCAACGAAAAGTGTCTTCGAGAAATTGGGTCCATGGATCTTCATCTTCGGCTAGTCTGGGAAATGGCCGGCGCCAAAACTTCGCGAGCCCCAGCTGAGACACAAGCCAAATTAAATAGCAATCTTTCTGCATGGCGGGGTGCAAACAACTCGGCCAGGGCAAACGATTATTATCGGTCATCCAAAGGTTTCTACTTGTCAATAAGCAGGACTGATAGTGTCCTGAATGAGGCCCCTCGCCCAAGTGTAAGGTTAGGCTCACGATACTCAGCCCAGTACACATCAAGGCCGGAGGTTCGTTCAAAAATCGGAATTTGGACACAGGACCTGGGAAGATTAACGTTTATGGGATTCTTGGTGTGCAAATCGGGGGAAGCGCTCAATCTGAAGATAAATATTGGGGTGCTCAATCTGAAGATAAATATTGGGGTGCTCCGATAAACACGCATTGGTGTATGGGGATTGCTGGTGTTATGCATGAATCATGTTTTGTAATGAACACGTCTTTTGGTCAGGGTAGCGGAGCAAGATCGGTGCAATTAACGCGCCACCGTCATCATGACCAGTGGTCAACCTATTTTGCCATCCATCGGCCTGTCGTCCCCAAGGGCTTTCTTACATGAATTGTTCACGCAATCAACCACTATATTCAGCAGCATCCTGCCCTGCTGAGTTCCCCGTGGATGAGCAGTCAGCCAAGGACCGTGCAGTGTACAAAAAGGCTCATCAACCACAAGATCAGCCAACTGCCATCCGGCATCTGTCAAAAAAGACAAAAGATGCGGACCCCATGCACCCCACTCAGCGGGGGTAAAGCTGTCATGTGCGGCCATCGACCACAGCTGACTCAACATGACACTGTTGAGGTAGCACGCATTGCCACTGTTGCTAAAGGCATGTGTCAACAAGCTGCGAGCTACGTTCTCACCTGTCTTGCAATGGCCTGAGCCAGCGGGGATCGCTGGAGGGAGGTAATACGAATCCTCAAGAGCACCATCTGTCCCATGCCGTTCCCGCATAGGGCCATCAATGCACCAAACAGCTGGTGAGATTCCGGGCTGCGCAGGGAGATGTCCAGTCGCCACGGGATCACCAATTGGCTGTCGTCCTGAATCCCTTCTTGGTTCATGGGCTTCATCGGAGCAAATTTGTGGATCAACTCGGTGTTGGCTCCAAGGCGTGTCAACAAGGTCAGGATCTCCCGGACGCGAACAAAAGAAAGTGGCTCCTGCTTGGTGGGTCTCAGACATTTGGCCTGTTGATCCCACGACACGTAGTTCCATTCGTTCTGGGCATTCAAAATCTATTTGCTCCGAAGATTGGTGCAAAGTGCGTCGGCGCTGTCTTCGACATTGAGTCGGCCAATGCGTTGCACTAGCTCCTCCACCACTTTCAAGAAAAGCACCTGCCGCAGAGGGCAGGTCACACCAGCCTGCTGCTTCTGAGTGTGCCATTCTTTTGAGGCCGTGAGCATGGTGGGAAGTATGGATCCCTTGCCGGCCTGGAGAAAGAGAAGGAAATTGCGGTCCAAGCACATGGCATTGATCATGTCTTCCTGTCTCAAACAAAGTTTCGTCAGCATCTGAACTAACGAAGCGTCCTGCTCGGACCTCCTGGATGAGTCCGAGAAGTTGGATCGATGGTTCGATCTGCCCTTGCCAGTCTGGGTGGAAGACTCTGAGTCGGCCGTTCGAGGCCGTTTCACATGGGTGCCTAGAGCCTCTACCAGATCGTGAAAGGACATGTCGTCGTTGGACATATGTTCGGCCATCCCGACTACCAGCTACGGTGAGAAACAGGTCACGGGCCAACGCGTGTTCGAGCTCCATCAGAACATGGTGCAATGTCAACTGTTGGTGTGAATACGTGTCAATCACAACGTTCTGTGGGGTCCACCAGGAGTCCAGGCTATTTGAGTGCCAGGCCCATCGGAAAGGCACAATCGCGGTGATCCATGCCACCGTCCGGAAAAGCATGTCAGAGGTCAACAGTACCTGAGGCAGTTGGCGGAAGTGAGAAACCCATCTGGTTGTCTGTGCATACCAGTGAAGGCGTGCTTCCGGAACAAATGCAATCGAATGATACAGTGGCATGGGGACGTGATGAATCATGTCCATGCAATCCGGTGTGTGGCCTGTGGATCTGATGTCCAATGTCCATGGAACCGAGTCTGAGGCCCATCTCGGCAAACGTGTGGCATCGTGCACTTCGTGCGGGACCGAAGGACCATAATGTTGGTCGTGGATCCATTGAATGACTAGCTGTGGGCATGTACCCCTGCTAAAATGATTTTGCAAGGCAAACGGCATCGTGAACGAAGCTCGACAATGGGTGCAGCTCAACCGGCCCGGCATCATGTCACGGCTGGGCCTAAAGGGAAAAGACTCCGGCTTGTCAACCTGATGCGTCAGGCGGACGTGTTGGGCCAGACCTTTTCGTCCAATCACTTCAAGACACAAAGGGCAGGTGAACTCAGACAATGGGACTGGAATCTCGGTTGTTGCAGTCTCGGCCAAACGGGTCTGGATTGTATCTTTACCTGGAGGTCGGCCACGCTTGGGTTGCCTAGCCGTTTGGGCAGGGGTCGACCCGGGAGAATGATGTACTACTTGATGTTGGGTCAGGCCTTGGGGGGACAAGAACACTGCCGGACATTGGGTGCACTTGAAGATCGATGGACTGGTGTTGGCCTGATCTGAACTGGATGGGGCAGCAGTGGATCTTGTGGTCAGGGCTGTGTCCGGGGTTGATGTCAGGTCCATGGGGCCCCGGAGCTTCTTGGTGGTTGGACCCGGATCAGGAGCTTCGTCAGGCACTGGATCACTACCTGAGGTCGAGGACGGATACCATGCACGCTTCATGCATGGCATGACAGGAAAGTGAGCTGGATCAAACACGTGGGCTGTCATGGCGGCCAATTGGTATACCACACTGCACTGGTGTGTGTGGACATTGAGCGTTCTGGTGCAACAAAGCGGGCATTCACCTCGTCCTGACCCGAAGTTGGCAAAGCCTCTGACCATTTCCAAGTGTGTATTGGTCGGTTTGATCTTCTCCTGATGGTGGTCCCGATAGTGACGGGTCATTGCCTTGGCATGGACCTGTTGGTTGCAGAAGGCGCAGCGAGTGGCAAGCTCTTGGCACAGTGGCTTATCCAAGTACAGGCCCATGTACGATCGGTATCGAATGTGCATGGCCACTTCAGGTCTGGACACAATCGGGATCACCAGGGCCTGATGCAGGTCAAAAGCTGTGCAAACACGTTTGTTAATGTGTGTACGCACACGTTTGTTAATGTGTGTACGCAATGTCGTCATATTGGAAAATTGGATTATGCAATGACGACAGACACTAGTGCCATCGAATGAGTCGCGCAGGGGATTAAATACATCTTCTGGCAAACATGGGATGTGGTGCATTTGACGCATGTGCCGCTTCAGTATCCCGGCCTGGTTAAATTGTCGATGACATTCCGGGCACTCAAGAGAGGGATCCTGAGCATGAGGTTGGGAGGAATCACTCGGCGTGTCTAAGTGGCTCATGGGATAATCTGGGGCCAGTGCAATCACATCTGGAGGTTGGTCATCCATGGCAAATTCGACTGCTTGCTGAATCTTGTGCAGCAACGACTGGCGCAGTCG